GGGAATAAGTGCATTTGAGATGGCTAGGTTGGCACAGGATAGAAGAACTTAGAGAGCTCTTGTACATAGGGTCGCTATGAGTCGTGACTCAATGGCACATAACAACAAAGGTTAGCAAATTATCTAAACTCCCTTGCTTGTTGTTATGTGCCATCGAGTCGCTTGTGACTCACAGCGACCCTATGCATGATAGCTTGGAACACTGCCCTAGCCTGAGCCAATCAGTATCTGACACACCTGCCCCCATTACTCTACTCACTGTCAATCCATCTCTTCTGGAGTCTTCCTCTCCTACTCTGTCCCTTCCAAGCATTAGTCCCGAGGCAATATGTCCAGAGTATATCCTTGCCTCCAAGGAGCAACTTGGTTTAAACCTCTCTTGGAAAGACCTGTTTATTCTCTTGGCTGTCTATAATATGTTCAACTTCTGCACAACTCAAGGCATTGATTCTTTTGTCATCAATCTCTAGACTGACATCCTTGCTCTTTAGCACTCTGGAGAGGTCCCTGACAGCAGATTTTCCTAATGCACTTCATCTTTTGATTTCTTGACTGCTAGTGCCAAGAGTGGTAATTGTGGAACCAAACAAATTGAAATTGTTAACAATCTCAATCTCTTTCCCATCTATCATGCTGCTGCCAACTGGCCCAGTGGTGGAAATCTTTTTTCTTGATGTTGAGCTTCAATCCATGTTGGAGACTGCCTTGTAAGTAACAGAATGACTTTAGGTTACATCCTGAGGAGACTAGTAGTAGTATTTATGGTCAACACTTGTGGTGTTTGGATTACCAGAAAAAGATCAGAAAAAGCAATTCAGGTATGCCTTAGGAAAAGAAAGCTAAATGACTACAGAATTTGTTCCTGTCCTTGTTTACGTGTCTAATCCTTGGCACAGTGGCATATTCATGTGCTGATAGGAATTTGGCCAAGAACTTGGGACCGAGGTGGGTACTGTGTGGTGGGATGGTCTTACCACGATACCCAGATGTCTTCACATGTCCTTCTGAAGTGTGCCCAAGAGCAAGAAAGACCCTCACCATGCTGGACTGATCCAGTGACAACGTGCTTCAGCACAGCAGAGAGCATGAGGACAGCATGGGATTGGGCAAGGGTTCCATCCCGGCACGTGGGGTTCCGGGAGCTGGAGCCCACTCCACGGTGTCTAACAGCAGTCGGCCTCTGCCCGAGTCATTTCTGTAGCTTCCTGTGCAATTAAAGTAGGTAAAGGTGATCGCTCTTTCCTTGGCAAAGGAAGAGTGGCTTGTTTCCCACTAGCTACAATTCAGGGAGGTCTGGTTGCTTAGTAGGTAGGGAGTTGAGCTGCCAACCCAAAGGCTGAGGGTTTGAACCCACCAGCTGCTCCCAGCAAATGACACGGATTTACATGAGAAATGATAAATGGAGCTTCTCTAGTAGGTAATTCTGGAGGCTACTGTTCAGATTGGCCAAACCCTTCCTGAAACTATGTCGCTGCCCTTCATTCTTGTGTGACTCCTGGTATTTTCTATCCCATCCCTGGAAACAATCAAAGACTGTTTCTTTCTGTGTGTAAGCCTATTCTTGACTTTTTCTAACTGGGTTCACATACAAAATTTGCTCCCCAGATTCACCCATGCTGTGAGATGGTACTCCGATGCGGCATTATTCATTAGTTACGTATGTTGTACTCCACTGCATGTCTGGGCCAAATTTGTTTATCTACTTATTTGTGGAAACTCCCTTAGGATGTTTTCATCTTTTGTTATTGTGAGTAACAAGTCTGCATTTCCTTAATGTCTTTGATAAAACCTGTACTTTCTTCATAAAGTTATTGTACATCTTTTGTTAGGCTTATTCCTAATTTTTTCTACCTCTTTATTGCTCTTTTAAATCTTTATATAAGTGGTAAGATTCTTTATACTAGTGTCAAACACATTTTAAAGAGTGAAGGCACAATCATCATTATGAAATGTTTTAAGCATATTTAATTAAAAAAAGTCATAAACATGATTTATATTAAACTATACATTTTACAATCTAGGCCAAAGTTTAACTTAAATATACATAACCAGTAGGACTGGCTGTGATTCCGACGAACAGAAAACCCTGCGGAGTTTGTGCCTGGCATGGGCCAGGTCTGGGCTGACTACGCTGGGCTCCCTCGGAGCACTTCACTCCACCATCGCTAAATCTCTCAGGCTCTGGGTTTTCTGCCTCTTGGCCTTATAGCCGGGACGCAGAAACTCTATTTTTCTCTTCTTAGCTTCACTTTTATTTTTGTGTTTCTTCAACTTTTTCTTGGCAGCAATATCAGGGTTAGTTACAAACTGGAAAAAAGAGAAATTTTACTCTTAAATATTAAACCAATAAAATCAAGTGGAGAAATGTGCCATTTGTTTCCTTTGAAATCATGAACACAGACATGCTGGTCAGAGAAGATATGGGGCCTGGGGGAAAGCTGCAGTTACAGAGCCCCTCTTGGCCAACATCACCAGTTAATCCCTCCCTCCCCCCACCCCAGTGCTTCACACACACACAGGCAGACTGTTCAAACACTATCAGGCTTGGTGAACGTGCCACATTTTCCAACAGCGAACGCACCTCCAAAGCCTTCCTCTTTTTCCGGAGCGCCCTCTTCTGATTCGCCTGTTTCTGCACAGACGCAAAGGCTAAGGAAAAGCTCTCGAGGCCAACCAGCTTTTTGAGTAATTCTATGATCTCCTGGGATAGATTCTTCAATGAAGGATCTAATCACAAACAGAAAGTCATGAGCAGGGAGAGTTAAGAAACGATGTTTAACACTTAACAACATGATTGACAAGACACAAAATTCTATCACACTTGTGCCCAGATCTAAAACTCTCCTCCACACTCCTGGACGGGAGGTACAGCCCGCAGCACCACCTGATCGAGAACAGAACAAAGACCAGAGGCCCCGGGCCTGCTTCCCAGGAGGATCTTGGCTCGGAAGACATTCAAAGAACTTGGAAATTTGGAAGAAACTCTTTGGGTTGTCACCCTTTCAGCTCTACCGATAGGAGAAAGAGGTTTTACTGGCCCCTTTCTACTCCACAAATCGCAGAGGCTTAGCTCTGCCCATGCCCACCTCTTTTTGCCTGAGAACCTGCTGCGAAGCTCTGCCCCTCCATTCTTCCTTGCTGTCTCCCCCACAGGGAAAGAACCCGAGTTTTGCATTCAACTGCAGGGGAGGTGGGGACACTGGCTGGGCAATGCAAGCGTCTCAGGGGCGAAGACTGCCTCCTCCCCTGCTGCAGACACAGTGTCTGACTCAGCACCTGGCAAACATGAGGTGCTCAACAAATGCAGGCTGAATGGGCATCACAGCCTGGCTGTCAGTGGCCCCCGCCTCACCTGGGCCTTCTTCCGTCCAGAAGCCCTTGAGACAATGGCACAGGGACGCAACATGCTGTCAAGGCAGCAGGGCTAACACAGCCCCTCCGGTGGGAAACACCCACGTCATTTTATCTTGTATAGTATCCACTTTACAGCCCCCTCCCCATTCCAAACCTCAATTCCATCTTTTTCTATTATTACAAGACAATTAAGATCAGTGAGAAAAAAGTACCAAGTACACTACACAAAAACAGGAAAAAAATTAGACTGATATTTAAACTTAAAAGTATGTTATGAAAATAATTTTACTTGGGATCTTAAGAATGGGCACTTTATATCGCTCATTATTATTCTAATACTTAGAACTACCCAAACTACAGTTTTCTCTATATTTTAAATTGCTTATGATGAAAGCATTATGTGTTAGGAGAGAAACAGTCACTCTCAGATAAGAAAAATTGAGGGAGAGTAGTCAAAGAGAATACAAAATAGTTTTGTTTGTGTGCTATTAGTTGTCTAACAATAGTTAACAAAACCCAGTAAGTTATCTCTCAAAAAAACCCATTTTCTGGCAGGCAGTAAAGAGAAAGAAAGAAGGGGGCATTCAGGGAGGAAGTCAGGAGTTGGAACACGAGGGCAGAGGCGGTTACCTTGCTCTGCGTAGGTGCTGTTCAGTTCTCGAAACAAAGGCGCTATGATCATTGGCAGATACAGCTTCACCCTCTCTTCTCCCAGGTCCATCGCTATGGCTCCAAGGAACTTAAAGATGCATGTTCTCTGAAAGTACAGGACATGTGTCACCTGAAAGGCTTCTGTTAACACAGTCATGCAGATACACTGTCCTAGAAGACAAGAGTCTGATCTACTTGGGAAGTGTTGCCAGTGGCTGCAGTTCCGGGCTCAACAGGCAGAGCTGTCGAGGCAGTTCTCCTTGGGAGGACCACTAATGCCAACTAAAATGCTTTGCTGAAGTGCTGTTACTAAGAATATACTGTGTAAGAGTCAATGGAGCTGTACTCAGTGACTACTTTGCAGGCTTATGGCACCTTTAGGGGGTTCCTGGGTGAATAGGCGGCCTCCAGCTTTGCCATCCGGGACAATCTGAGGATCAGCCAGAGCAGGGTGGCCGGTTTGCTGGGCTCCTCCTGCTCCCGGCTCTGCTCTCCGTCATCGGCACAGGCCGCGGCAGGCTCTTCCACTTCCTCTTGGGCCTCATTGGCTCCTAAAGCTCCGTGCTCTTCTCTCCCTTCTGCTGTCTCGGCTTGCTTATCCTCAGAATCCGGTACCAGGAAGTATAAGACTTTGGCAACAAACAACAAATTCTTAACAACCTTGAAAGAAGAAGGGAAAAAGAAGGGAATAGACTTTAACTCTGGAAATTGTATGGCTCGGTAAAGCAGAAGCTGAAAATATATACTCAAGGATGAGAAGAGAGAGCAAACCGGGTACTGCATTATTAAACTATGCATACCTTGGTTCTCAACCCCCTCACGCTCGTCGTTACCGGTGCCCTGCACGCACCTTTACCCCCTGGGCTTTGTCCCACTCTCTCTGACCACCTGTGTACACCTGTAAAGGGCACTTTCCTCCGCCTTCCATGAATTCCCTTTGATCATTCCTCGTGGCAGAGTCACTTCTATTTGTTGGGCACTAACTAGTTGCCTGACACACCTTAATGTATCTCTGCTGGATACTATTATCAGAGAGAACACCAAGGTCAGAGATAGTTCATGACCCCCCAAAAAAACAGGATTCCACAGTCCAGAGTTTTTAAGCCCAAGTGCTTAAATACCAAGCTCTTCTTCCTCAAATTCCATTTAATTCAGCTAGTTAAATAGTCCAAAGATCATATTGGTTTAGAGACAGCAAACCTATTTGACTGGCTAACTCTGAAGTCTGTATGGTATTTTCCATCCAGGGCTCCTGTGCCTGGACTGTGCAGCCACCATCTATTAGTCTCTATTAAAGAGAACACGTCCACCATGGCAGGAGTTCCCTCGGCCTCACTTTGCCATTCCTTGTAGTGGCTCTCCTCTCCTTCCCAAGCTTGCCATGTAACAAAGCATTAATATAGACACAACAAAAAGTTAACACTTTTCACTGATAAAAGTGACAGAAATGGCAGTTTTTTGCCCCTTGAGTCATCTCTGAAGATCTAGACATTTGACTAACTTGCACAGGTCTAGTATTTAATCTGTATTGCTCCACCTTGGCCCTAATGTCTCAGACGAGGAAAGCACCTTGCTCTGTCTAGATAGCAGGTCTGCCCTGGCTCAAAAGCTGCTAACCCATCTGTTTTATCAAAAGAGGAAATGAGAGCGCGAGAGAACAATTATCTGAAAGTCATATAAATTTACTCTGTATTCATAAATTCTTCCATTGTGTTTATGTTTCATTTCTAGTCACAGAGTAAACTCATATAAAGTTCTGCGCTGACAGAAAGATATAATGCTTTGGAGAAGGTATCTCAAGGCTGAAGTTACCTTACCTTACGAAGATAAGCCACCAGCCTCACACTACAGTATCTGCACTCAGAACTGAAAAATAAGTCTCTAACTCCTGCTTAGGCTGCATTTGAGTATATGCTCAAACGTCAGCTAATTCCCCAAACATTAAGTTCAAAAACTAAACAAATGGCAAACAGTGAGTCTATCCCTCAACCAGTGGGTGGATTCAATTCTTACCTGCTCCCCAAGTGACGGATCCAAGAATTTGGAATGTAACTGATGACAGGAAGCCAAAGAAATACTTTTCATCTGTGAAAAGTAAATGGACATGAGCAGAATGCAGCACATTTCAAACAGGGTTTTCAGCCCAGAGTATCAGATTTTGTTCTAAACGACCCTGTGTTTAGACTCAGAATGCTCAACACTATGTAACTATTGCCTTTTCCCCGCCCTCAAGCATTTCACCCCTCAGAGATAGCCTGGGAAGGTATGAGTTAATCCTCTCTTATACTAAGGGGCTGCCAATGTAAAGAGGTATGTGGTTTGAATCCACCAGTTACTCCATGAAAGAAAGATGGGCAGTCTCTTCTCGTCTGAGTAACTGCCTCTGAAAACCTGCTGACGGCTCAGCTATGGGTAGGTTTCCACTCAATGGTAACAATAATAACAATAACATAGTAGTAGTAGCAGTGGTAGTAGTAGCAGTGGTAGTAGTAGTAGTAGTAGTAGTAGTAGTAGTAGTAGTAGTAATAGTAGAACAGAGTGTACTATTCCCATTTTTTGGGTCTTTCCTCCTTTCTCTTTCATTTAGTATTTATGAAGCTCCCGGCAGAAGCTGGTCATTGTGCTTGACCCTAGTACATCAGAGAACACAGTCTGTGTCTAACAGTTTTACAGATAAGTCCTCAACAAGGTTAGGAAAGAGGCAGCACAGATAGTAGCAACCTTGTGTCCACTGTTGATAAGGAATTTGCAGAGATAAAGGAAGATGAATGCGCTAAACAAAAGTTCGATTAGACTGATGGCTTGAAAATGATCTGAAAAACCCAACCCTGGGAGCTCTGGTGGCCCCATGGCAAGAAGCTGCGCTGCAATCCCGAAGGTGCGCGGTTGGAATCCACCAGATGCTCCTCTGGAGGAGGGGCAGTCTCCTCCTGTGACAGACTATCAGAATCAATGATACACACAAAAACCAAAAACCAAACAAAAACCAAAACCCCATCCTTTCAGGTGATACCCTCACTGCATGACATGTCCAATCCAGCCCAGAATGAAAACCCCACACAGGTCACAAAGGAAGAAAAAGGTATGCGAGCTCTTACCTTCTGGTCAAGGTCGCTTGTTAGGAACTTGATTGCCACTGGTTCTGGGAGACCCTTTTTAGTCTTCTTGGAGCTCCATTTTCTAACAAGCTCCTCTGGCTGGCAAGAGGCAAAGAGCAACCCAAAGACCTGGGCTGCGGTGAGCCACACCCAGCTGTGGGGATGCCTCAGGTGATCGTGCAGGTGACCTACGGGGCCAAAAGACGCAGCAGACACCTCAGTTTTTCTGTTTTGTGGTTGTGAATTTTTTGGTATTTATTGAGTATCTATTATGGGCTTTAAAAGGTTAATGGAAGAAGGATGAAGCAAAAAACCCTTTGGGGCATTCTATGCTCTCCTAAAAGGTTGCCACAAGGTGGAATCAACTCACTGGCATTGAGTTTGATTTTGGGACATTATGTGCCTGGAGCCGGAAATACAAAGATGCACAATTATAACTGCTTCCAAGCAGCTGAGAGAAGAACCTGGGGAAAGGGAGGTAGACTCAGCAGATAGAAACTGAAGTATTCACGACGTGGTTGCCTTGATGGCACCTAACAACCATGTCATGTCATGTAAGACGTCCTGGTGACACAGGGTTAAGTGCCTGGCTTCTAACTGAAAACTTGGTGGTCTGAATCTCCCAGCCACTTCAGAGTAAGATGTGGTGGGCTCCGTCTGTAAGGGTTACAACTGAGGAAACCCTATGGGACAATTCTGCTCAGTTCTATCGGGTTCCCACGGGGCGGAATTGACAGCAACTGGCTGCTGTGGTAAACGATGCAGATGAGATGAGTAACTGTAGTAAGGGGTCATCTGCATGAGAATGACTCTCAGACAGCGTCAACATTTCCTCAATTCAGTGCTATGAAAACCTACCTGGACACGTTTACTTGCTCCAAGAAGGTGACTAGAAAGTGATCATTTAAAAAAACTATCCACACCCATGTTTATCACGGCTTTGTTCACAATTGCAAAGAATTGGAAACAACCTAAGTGCCCATCAACAAATTAATGGATAGAGAAGCGGTGGTATATTCACACAATGCTGCACTGAAAAACAAGGAACTCATGCGATATTATTATTCAAAATGGGTGACCCTGGAGGACATTATGCTGAGTGAAAAATCTCAGTCACAAAAGGACAAATACACATAGTGCCACTGTTGTAAAACAGGACTGACCTTGGGGTTGGGAGGAGACTGAGAAGGATGGGTTCAATAATATATACTGTATTGAAACAGATGAGGGAGAAAACTGTTTAAGAAGGAAAATTATTAGGGATTTTTGTCATGACAGGAGTCCAGAGCGAAGGCTGTATGTATAGCAGAGTGGACCTTGGGGAAGGGATTGTAAAGCAATGAAATAATTTTTCTTTTACTTTTCCAAGAGGGTAGTGTACTAGAGGGGAAGGTCAGGAGGGGAAAAAAAGTGCAACAATGAATGAATGGAAATCCAAAGTCTCTGTAAATTTTCACTGAAATTAATAAAAAAACCCAAAAAAAACCAAAACCAAAACCAAACCAAAACTATCACCCAAAACCCTTTCTAGTATTTATTATTTATTGAACTGTCAAACTCTTAAGAGATCTGCCAATCACTTCTGGAAGACTTTCTATGTGCTAAGTGCAGGGACGTGCTATGTGCTAAGAGAGTCTCACGTATGCCTTCATTCAGATCTCACAGCAGCTCTGGGGTTGTCATTTTCTTTCATCTTACCAATGAGGAAGCCCATGTCCCACATAGCGTAAGTGACTTGCCAAACTCTAACAGGTGAGGCAGGACTAACCCACTCACTTATGTAAGCTTTCAGTATAAATCTCAACACAGAGAATCCCAGGAGGAACTCTATAATGTGGGAGCTGGGAGGAGGATGAAATCCTGCCTTACTATGCTATATATTTCTCCAAGTTGTAGTCTAGGCTGCTAGGTTTTCAGAACACAGTGATGCTTCTGCTCTGCATAAATCTGCAATAAGTTTGCCGTATCCCGGCGGAGCCCCACTAGAGTAGGTCCTTTGTCAACAACTAAGTCTCACAGAATTGGGAGCTTAGGCTCCTGAACTGGGTGGATACTTAAAGCACTCACGTTCATGCCTATTGTCCCTAGTGCGCGTAAGGAGTTATGGGGCCAACTCAAAAGCAAGCTGTTCAAATCCACCAGCTGCTCCTTAGGAGAAAGATGGGCAATGTCCTCTGAGGCCATCTACAGCCTATGCAAACCCACAGCTAGGAAGGAGCTGGTTCTGACTTGATGGCAGGGAATAATGACGCTCATAACTGGAGCAGCCCTGGCGGTGTGGTGCCTAACTTGTTGGGCTGCTGACGGAAATGCTGGCAGTGCGAAGCCAGCAGTTGTTCCACGGGGGGAAAGACAGGCCGTCTCCTCCCGTAAGATGTTTGTATAGCCTGGGAAATCCAATGGAGGCTTAGAGTATACTCAACAGCAGTGCGTTAAACGGAGAACTTTAAGCTAATTCTACAAAGCAAAACAAAATCTCAAAACACTAAGGTCTTATTTTTCAGAGTGAGATTTTTTTACTGACCTAAATGCTCCAAGTTTAGTAAAATCAAAGGTACGTTTACATGATGATCTATTGCTCAATTCTTGAACATTCATTAGATTTGTTCTAAGAGGAAATAAACAGGCTATAAAGGCCTCGATGGGTCTATGCAAACGCTCTAAAAACAGAGCAACAGGCCAACCTCCTAGGCTTCTGCAACAGTGAGAAAGGCTGGATGGAAACATTTACCGGATTATCTTCAAGTAGCATACTGGGCTTTGTGAAAGTTTTTTCCTGCCTAATTAGTATTATTTCTTTTATAAGGAAAACGTACCATTTTTAAATAGGAAAAAATAAATATGTGAAACTTCAAAGTCACAAATACGTATCTGTCTTGTTCAGAAGAAATATTCACTGTAATGGATCTGGCAAAGGTTCTCAATTTTCTTCTCCTCATCACTTTTCTCCCCATTATATAGTATCTGAAATGTTCATCATTTGCTAATTTCCAAAACAATCTATGCACAGGGATTCTAGCGCAGCATACGTGCTTGTTTTTAGACTTAAATAATAGGAAAATACTTACACCAGATCTTACGCAAGATCTCAGAGGGCTTGGTTAACTGAATTAAATTGCATTCCTTGATGAGTTTACTGATTAGTGTAAGAAAACTAAACAGAAGGCGATCGGCAGCCTTTTCTTCAGTCTCTTCTATTATCTACAACAAGACGGAGACACATCAACAAAGACATTAATCTCAAAGTATCTGAGAGGCATTGACCATAGCAAGTCAATTCACATTAGGATTTCTCAGTCTTGGTTCTTACACACAAGGCAACTGGAAATTCTTTCCTGAGGACGTAGGGATGCTAGCAGTACCTGTCCTCACATGATGACAACACTACATGCCTCTAGATATTGCCAAATGCATGTGGGGATGAAATCATCCCACTGATCTTCATACGTTACGGAAGGTAAGTAACTTTAAAACATCCCCGTTCTCTAAAAGCTTTGGTTGCTGCGAGTGCACACAGCAAAATAAACACAATCCAACTGGTCCTACACGTAACATTCAGAGACACTGATTACATTCTTCGAGGTGTGCACTATTCTCACGTTCCTTTTCAGAGTTATACTTTCCTCATTAACATAAACTCAGCACCTTCTAAAGGTCGTAAGCAGACTTTTCAGTTGCTGTTCTTGCATTGATTCTGCACTGAGAGTTCTTACAAGAGGACAATGTTCAAGGCAAATACTTTTTACTAGGCTACCTAAATCGAGCTGTTATATTTGAAGAGCTGTTAGGGGATATTTTTGGTTAAAGGTTTAAAGTGCAGTATTTCAGTAGTTCTGGCCCCTATTTTAGGTAGCTCTGGTGGTTAAGTGGTTAGGAATTGTACTGCCAACATAAAGGTATGTGGTTTGAATCCGCTGCTCTAGGGCTGAAAGATGGGCACTCTCCTCTTAAGCATTTACACTACCTCTGAAAACTGCTGGAGGGTCAGCTTCCAACTGGACAGAACACAACAACCTCCATTTTTTTTTAAATTTTATTATATTTTTTGTGTGTACTGTCAAATTGGATCTGACTGGTACAGGAGGAGATTGCCCCTCTTTCTCCAGTAGAGCATCTGGTGGATTCGAACCGCACACCTCTGGGATTGCAGTGCAGCTTCTTGCCACTAGGCCACCAGAGCTCCCTAACAACCTGTATTTTTAAAAGAAGTTTTAACGACATTAATTCTTGATAATATTAATAAAGAACATTCTAAACACAAATCAGCAAAGGCTTCATTCATTCCCTAGCATATTACTTACATCTTTAAAGTTTTCAGGATCAATTTCCTTCTCAATCACAGGAAGTACAGCGCCAAGTCTCCTTTCAAAATCAACTCCTTCACTTTCCACAAATAAGCCACAGATCAAGGCGGCCAGTTGTCTATTTAAGCGCTACCAAAACCAAAACACAACACAATGTCAAAACGATTTGAAAATGTTCAATGCAGGTAAGAGGTTACTCTGTCCCCAGCATTCAGACAATGAAATTAGTTCTTCATAATGTCAGAAATTATTACATTTGGAGATTTGTTTGGTGGAAAACATGATAAAATGTTGGATAAACCTTCATACCCAAGACTAACATTTAAAAAAGGCGGCATTTATATTATCATCCACTGAACACTTAAATAAGTTGTTTTTTCTTTTCTGTTAAATAATAATAAAAAGAATGGATATTGTGGCTTTTTTCATAATAGCAAAGAGCTGGAAACAACCCAAGTGCCCATCAACAAACGAATGGATAGAGAAGCCCTGGTATATTCACACAATGGAATACTATGCAGCACTGAAAAACAAAGAACTCATGAATTACTATGCTAAGTGGATGACCCTAGAGGACATTATGGTGAGTAAAACTATCTCAGTCACAAAAGGACAAATACTGCATAGGGCCATTATTGTAAAACAGGACTGACATTGGGGTTGAGGGAAGACAGAGTAGAAGGGGAGGAACAATGTATATTGCATTGCAACAGATGAGGGAGAGAACTGTTTAAAAGGGATATATGATTGGGTATTATCGTCATGACAGGAGTCCAGAATGAGGGCTGCACAGTGCAATGGACGTGGGGCGAGGGACTGCACAGCAATGAGTTTTTCTTTTCAAGGAGAAAAGTGAATGGGTGGGAGGGAGTAGGCAGGGAGAAAAGTGCAACAGTGAATGACTGGATACCCTAAGTCTCTGTAAACTTTCATTACAATTAAAAAAAAAAAGGAGGGAGAGAAGTTTCATCTCTCCTCCAATATGTGGGTCTGCAACAAGTCAATTAATAATCTAGGATCTTTGTTTCCCCATTCTACAAAGAAAAGCCAGGATGATGGTGGCAGACCTGGTCAAGAGATACCAGAATTAATAAAAAATTACTCAAGTATTAGAGAAACAAAATAATTCATCAGCAAGGGTCTGGTTAAGTTTGTTGTGGGCGCTCTGTAGCCTAGTGCTAAGAAGCTATACTAAAATCTCAAAGGTAAGCAGTTCAAATCCACCAGCTGCTCTGTGGAAGAAGGATGAGCAACCTCCTCTCATGCAATTTATTGTCTCTGAAAACCTACTAGAGGGTCAGCTACGGGTTGGTTCCGACCCCATGGAACAGAACAACAATAATAATAATACAAAGCAGTACTCAGAAACACAAACATTATCCCCTCCTCACCTTTTTTGCAGTAAACCAGGTGGTAACCATATTAAACAGCCAGTCTTTTTTTTCCAGGTTAATTTTACTGAGTAAAGACTTGATTGTCATGGCGGCCATCTTTTTGCACGTGGCAGAGTCATCGTTGACCAGCATTAGACAAAGAGGAATAAAGAACATTCCACAGTTCTCATGGAGCAGCCCCTAAAAGAAAACAGGCGTTTGTGAGCCCCGCCAAGACAGAATTCTCACAGATGACTTAAAGGGAAGGCAGGGGTTTCAGGGATGTAGCGAAGCAAAACTCAAGTTTGTGTTTGGTGATTCACCGTACCTGAGGGAAGGTGTCAAAGAGATAGGCAATCATTTCCAAGGCCGATTCTCTTCCGGTCTCATGTTCATAGCTAGGGGAACAACAATACATTGTCTGGACAGGGTCTTTTAAATTTACTAAGAATAACCACACACACACAAAAAAATCCCCAAAATAAAAACCCAAAACCAGAAAAGGCTGCACCAAGGTGCCAACTTCAATGAGTCCATGTAAGTCTGCCAACTACTGAGCAGTTTTAAACTTAACCAATGGTAACACTGGACAGAAAAACAATTTCTGGAATTGCCATAAAAAGCCAACACGAAGCCTGGTAATCAAGCGAAGGATTCATACAGAAGAGCATCATTAGGTGACATTTTTTTTGTCCTTTTAAAGACGCATGTCCTTGTCAAAGGAAATGCCTCTGAGTATCTGTGCTGCGGCTTACCTCAGCTGAGCAAGCATGAATTCCAAGTTTGGTCTCAATTTGTCACCAAGGGGATAGTCCAGAATGTATTTCAGGAAAACCTGGGGATCAAAGTTATACAATTATTTCAATAACTTCTTACTCTTCTGGGAGCAGAAGCCCCAGACATTTCCCCACTCCCCTGAGAAGGTGCCTCTGACAACATGGCAGGGTCCTGTTTAACTTGGCTCATCTTCTCCTCCTCCTCCCTTTAGTTCCTAGGCTTTTCCTTAGCCACTTCAAGGCTCATTTACCTCAGGTGTTTACTGCTCCTCCCTTCACCTGGAAGGTTAAGTCTTCTTTCAAACAGGAGCTTTAACATGAATCTTTGGGAAAGCCTTCCCTGACCTCTAGCCCTAGGCAGGGATCTCACCTTATCAGATGTCTTATTTAGGCACTCTGCATTTCACCATATCATATGCACAGCTTTTTATACTTGAAGTTAGCATGGATCTTATAACTGATGGTATCCTATCTCTGTGTCCAAGTTTTTACTTTCTTTGCAGCATAAAGGTTTGCCTTAGAACTGATGAAATATGATAGCAAATTTTTCCTCACAGAATTTGTGATGACTAATCAATTATTTGTGGAATTTCTGTTTTGTGCTTATGGCTTTTTGTTTTGTGGTATGTGCTCATGGGATAGAGACCACAGAGATTTTCTCTACAGCTCTTCTGGCCAACCTCTACTCAGAGGTAAGTGTTAAGTAGCCAAGGGATGAAGACCTTTTTTTTAAAAAAATTAATGATTTTTTAAATGCAGTACATATACATGTGTGTGTGTGTGTGTGTGTGTGTATATATACACAGCATATTCTTTCCTTTTAATTTTTCCTTATTCATTCATTGTTGCACATTTTCCTCCCTGCCCATCCATCCCCCACAGTTTGTTTTTCTCTTTGAAAAAAAAAATCTTTCATTCTTATACAATCCCCTCCCCCAAGTCCAGTCCACTTTATTATGCATTTATCTTTCTGTAATCTTGTCATGAAAATAATACCTAATCCTATATTTCTTTTTAACAGTTCTCTCCCTCATCTGTTTCTATGCAGTATATGTTATTTATCCCCTCTTTTCTTAGGTTCCCCCAACCCTGATGTCAGTTCCATTTTACAATAGTGGCACTATGCAGTACTTGTCCTTTTGTGTCTGAGATATTTCACTCTGCATAATGTCCTAACAGAGACCTTTTTTAAGAACATAATGCAGCAGGGGACAAAATGTAACTCTTCATCCCCTCTGTCACACAGTGGACTCAACTACTACTCTTGGCTGACTGAGAGACTCTATTCACACTTGGGTGTGCAAATGGGCTCCAGAGTCTTTGAATAAGGCAACAACTTGAACAAGAGAGTCTTCCAAACTCAATGTCAACATCTCTCTACTTAAAAACAAAATATAAAATAAGGCAGAGTCCAGCAGGTGGGAACATAAGCAGCTCACTGTACAAACCTGTCTACACTGGAGCCTGATGGGTTCACTCTGTGCAGAGATGGCCAAGGTGGATACTTTACGCATGACATCATCTATTTCCGGAACCAATAATCTTCTTGATAAAATGGCCTAAGATACAAAGTGAAAAACAGACTCATTCTTGGGTTGTACTGCAGCTGGGTAGAGAGTCACTTATGTTAGAGTAATAACAGGCAGTTCTCAAACATAACTGAAGTATCTTTGAAAGAAAAACCAAAATTTAACACAGCAATTATTTGTACAGGAAATATATTTCCTAGGAAATGCTAAAATGGAGCTTACGTTTACATTTTAATTAGAAGATAAGCTGGGTAAAATTGACCCACGCAAGCCATAATCATCTGTATGAGCTCTATGTGTTTCCAAAGTCCTGAACTCGTCCAACACTGTGTTACACATCATCCTCAACATCTGACGCGAGGCTCACCAACGGCAGAAGTCCCCACACCAGTGACATCGTACCTTGAGAAGACCAAATGCAGTTCCTTGTCTTGAGGTATCATAGATGTCCTCCTCCGCATACGCCAGCAGGACTTGCAGCTGTTTTTCAGTTATCTTGTAAGACTTCACTTTCTTCACAAGTATGGTCACACACTGCAAGTTACAACAGTAAGGTTAGCCACCATCAAGTCCCACTAACCAGAATCTAGTGGGACAATGATGACTGGATAGAACGCTAACATTCACAGAGGAGAGCATCTGTCTTGTTGTTATGTGCCAACCCTACTTACAAGAGCTCTGAAGCTTATCCTGAGCCAATCTCACTGTCTCTGACACACCTGCCCCGATTACCCCAATTACTGTGTCGATTCGTCTCATCCAGGGTCTTCCTTTCCTGCACTGTCCCTCCACCCTTCCAAACATGCTGTCTTTCTCCAAAGACTGATCCCTCCTGGAAACATGCCCATAGTACATGAGAAGGAGCTTAAAAATTCTTGGCTTCAGAAAGCAATCTGGCAAGCAATTTTGACCAAGATGAAAAGGAATGATGAGGGGAAAATGCTATTTGATGTAACTTGATCCTGGCTTTCTCTCAGGGCAAATGAAAATACCTCACCTTGAAACAATTGACCACCAGGTGGAAATTCTGCCCCCTGGCAGCCCCAAGTTTTGCATAGTCCTTCAGCAAAATGAACAGGTGTCTTGTCAGCTGCTCTGCGTTTGTTTCGATGGAAGGCAAGGGGAATCTCAAGACCCAGATGAGGCACTGTAAAGTGCCTGTGATCACCTGAAAAAAGCAAAGGATCGAAACTGAAGTGGTTACAAAACTCAAGACTCCAGCCCCAGGGGCTGGGTGGACTGTCAGTCAATTGAACGAAACAGGCCCACTCTCTGAGAACTGTGTCCCAAATGCAAGATGATGAGAGGCTGTCTGTTCCCTTTTGCACGGCTCCCCAATGGCAAGTGAGGATCCAGCATAAATAAGCAAAGGAGAAGGCGTACTCATGTAACAAATGCTTGGCCCTGACAGGTAAACGACTAGATGGGTTTACCAATTTTAGAAAAAAAAAATTGTGTGTGTATGAAAAAGTACATCATAAGTTACTTCTATTGTCTAGTGTGCTACTTCAATTGATTTGTCTTAAGCTTATATTAAAAAGCTTAATAGTGCTCCACTGACTATTAGAAACACAATGGTAATAAAATGACAACATCTCTGTATTTAAGACACCCACGGCTGGCTCAGAAATTAAACATGGGAAAAATGAAATAGAATTCATTATTCTGAGGGCTTGTGTGATTACACAGAGAATCCGTGGATAGTGAGGCCAAACCTTAGACATCACCTAATTCAGTTCTAATGTAGCCGCTGCTGCTCTGATTACTGTGATGTCCTCACTGGGCTGGTGGTATTAGATAAAAACATAAAAGAATGAGCCTGACATCAAAAGCTCCAGACTCAAATCTCAGCTCTGAGACATTTTACTTGTTGGACTGTGGAGATGTTATGTAGCCTCTCGGCATCTTCAGCTGTCAAGAAGTAACATGCAGAAACAGCAGGTACAAAGGCTCTGGAGCCTGGTAGACCAGGGTCTTGAGCGAGTGACTTTGCCTAAGCCCTAGTTTTTTCAGCCACAAAAAAGAAATAATAGCATATTAAGTCTCATAGGTTGCTGTTAGGATCCGAGATGAATCTTTAAGATTCATAGCACTGTGTAGTAGTAGTAGTGATAACGGAGAAGAGGTGCTACTGATGATTACTGGCCTGAGAAGTGAAATAGCACCCACCCTCATGAAGGTGCTGTCAGGAGGGTAAAATGGAATAATGGAGAAAGGCTAGCCAAACGCATCCGATTATTCAAGCAGAGAAACAATTTAAAGCAGGAAGTGTGGTGATTCCTGATGTCATAAAGCACTTTTGAAATAAAATCACCCTGTCAGAGACATGCCAAGCCCACAAGTAGTTCTACGTGGTGTTGAGTGACACTCTTCCTGAAAAGGAGCAGATGCTTCGACATGGACTGTGAACCCACACTCACCTTCACATCCCTGGAACCCAGGCAGTCAATGAGGAGAGAGACAAAAGGATCCAACATTTCCAAAACATGCTCACTTGAAGACTTGATCTTGGAATTCTTCAGACTGAGATGCAGCAGCTAAAAGAGGAAATAAAAACAGAAAAGATATTTCCTACCAATCACTCCTAAGACCTAATGAGTTTGCAAGAGACATGTGTCAAACAGTCAAGTTCTTTTACTGGTAGGACAAACATTTTTATGAACTTGGAAACTGCTTGGGGACTCTCATTAAGTCGAGAAGGTGCGTGTTTGTTGTGTAGCTGAGATTCTAGTTCTCAATACCACATGGACTCTTAGTGTCTATAATAAAGTTGTAGGAGCTGGCTCAACACTCACGATGCAGGAACGGCCAAAAAAAATGGTCTCTACCCTGATGGATCTTAGCTAGCAGGAAGAAAAGGAAATCAATTTGTGCTAATTGCCAGAAAGGGAGCTCTAGTGTTAAGTGTTGGTCAGCAGTCCTAATCCAATGGGTGCTCTGTGGGAGAAGGATGGGCAGTCTCCTCTTGCACTGTGTCGGAGATTTGGTGGAGGGCTGCTCTGAGTTGTAATCAACTCAATGTCAATGGGTTTCAGGGCTGGAGAGGCGGCATGCCGGGTGCTGTGAGAGCTTTGTAGGGACCTGCGTGGATGGAAGAGTGAGTAACAAGGTCCTAGAGCTGGAAACAGTGGGGACATTATACAACTGTAAGGACATGAACGTGACGGGTATGGGTGGTGGAGGAATGCAATACAAAGTGAGGCCTCTGTGGCTGAAATGAGGGAGTCATTTGTAGAAGAATGAAAGCAAATGAATGGTTTCACCCACTGCTAATGCTGCGATTTTGAATCACAGTGACCCAACACTGCACAGAACACCCCGTCGGGTATCCACAGCTGGAATCTTTAAGGCAGCAGGCTGCTGCATCTTCTCCCACAAAGTGCTCTCAGGGTTTGGACTGCGATCTTTTGGTTCGTGGTTGAACACTTAAGCACTGTGCCACCAGGGCCCCTCTTAAAGGGCTTTTTTTTTCCATATATTAATTTCTTTATTTTATTATTTTTTTTTGTGTGTGTGTACTGTCAAATCAGATCTGACTGGTACAGGAGGGGCCTGTCCCTCCTTCACCGGCAGAGTATCTGGTGGATTCGAACCATGTGTCTCTGGGACTGCAGTGCAGCTTCTTGCCACTAGGCCACCAGAGCTCCCCTTAAAGGGTTTTAAGAAGGAGACTGTGCAGCAATGAATGAATGAATGGAAATCCAAAATCTCTGTAAATGTTCATTAAAATTATTTTTTTTTTAAAAAAAAGGAGATTGAAGGTTCAGATTTTTGTTTTTATATTTTTAAATTTGTTTTTCATTTAATTATTCACAGCCATTTTTTATTTTATATTTAAATGCTATCTTAAAAAAACAACAAATTAAGGTGGTTCACAGGTACTCAGAGGCAAAACCACAATAAACAGCAGGCCAGAATAATTTAATTCCAGGGTGTTTATATTATCAAAGCATATACTGGGAGAAAGAAATAATAAAACTTAAGGGAGAAAAAAACCAAACAAACTTGAAACCAACTTGCAGCTGACCCTCCCGTGGGTTTCTGAGGCTGGAAGTCACACAGGAGGAGATGGTCTCTCTCTCACCCTTGGAACTGCGGGTGGATTTGAACCACCATAGCTTTGGTGTTTGGGTTAGCAGCACAAGTCCCTCCAGCCTAGCTCACATGTATGACCAACATAACTGAAATGAAATCCTTTCTTGACAATGAAGGCTTTCCCGTGGGCAGTACCAGAGTCAATAGAGAATTCACAGATGGAGACTCACTGGGGCAGCAGGTCTCAGATCATGCTTAATTCTTACCTGAAGCCCAGACTCGATAAATATGTGCATGTTGGTTTTCTTGCTCACGAGGGCTTTCTGTCCGCCTCGAACTGGAGTTGGGGGCAGCAGAAGACAGCTCTGGGGGGGCAGGCGTGGATCTGGAGCTGGCGTTGCTGGATTTCTGACAACCACAAAAGGAATGAAGGTCAGGAGGGACGACATGAGGGCTGCATCCTAAGATGTTACTGTGGCCTCTCTGCTGATAGAAGCCTTGTCTTCATTAAGGTGTCATTTATATACATATCCCCTCAGCCCTCACCTCACCTCTCAGAGACACATAAGACACTGTGAGGTTGTTGATCAAAGCAACTAGGATCACCTTCAGAAACAGCTCAGGCTGAACAACACACATGTAATGGGAGGTGAAGTGTAAGTGGAGACTTCCTTTGATTTCTAAAACAAATGCCAAAGTTCTCTTGGGGTTTTGGGATAGTGGTGGGTTTTGGGTTTGTTTTTTTGCATCAAGGTGTGTGTTTTGTTACGCAAGCAAAATACTGAGGAAGTTTATTGATATGTAAAGTATTTTAAAAAAATTTTAAGGTCTAAGTATCTGCTTGATCAGAACAAGAAATACCTATTGATTCAATGAATAATTAGAATAAAAATCCCTATAAATAATTTTAAAGGAAACTACAGGAACCCATCTAAGAGTAAGTAAGAGACAGTGGCCCCCAGAAATTAGGAGAGCAGCATGAAACAGTTTTTCTCTTAAAGCCCTGAGAAGCAATCAATACGGTTGTCACTCTGTATATGAACACCTAGCTTTCAGAAGTCAACATTCCCCCAGAGCATGACAGCAAGGAGCAATGCAGGTAACATAAGGAAGAGATGCGAAACACATTCATCCTAGCATAACTTCAGACGGCTTCGGAGCACTAATACTCTAAAGAGAAAATAGCCCTATTATAGAAGTTTTCTCTGAAATGTCCAAGATTAAATGTCTACATCCTGACAGGTTTTGGCCTAAGACAGAGTAAAACATCAGAGAAATGTGGGAGGGAGGGAGGAACTGAATGAGCTGAAAGGCTTATGAGGAGCAAGCATCTCCCGGATAGTCCCCCACCTCACTCTCAGCCTAAACTTACTTTTCTTTCTCTGTTAACAGGGGGAGATTTTCACTGATCAAGCCATAGCTGAGCAATAGTATGGATTCTGCCGTCATCTCCTCATTCACAATCAATCCCGCTATGATTCGGCGTAAGGTTTCATGAACCTTCCGAGCCAGTTTTAAACTCGTGGTATTTTGTAAGATCTAAAAGTAAACATAAATGTTATACATTACTGTTGGTTTGTTGTAACTGTTTTATACATCTGCTTTTAATACATGCTCATTTTTCCTAATAAAAAAATACTTGATAAATTTCTAATGTACAGATAATGGGAGCTCTGGTGGCCTGGTGGTAAGACGCTGCGCCAAAATAAAAAACACACACGGTTCGAATCCACCTACTGCTCTACGGGACAAGGATGGGCTGGCTGTCTCCTCCCATGCGATTTACCACCTCAGAAAATCCACTGGAGGGTCAGCTACACGTCAGTTCCCACTGGACAGCACTCAACAACAACATTAGTGCAACAATGAATGAATGGAAACCCAAAATCTCTGTAAATGTTCATTAAAATTAATAACATTTAATAAAAAAAAACACAAAAAACCAACAACAACATACATCATGTCATGTAAAATCTAACAGTAGCCTTCCCACAGAGAAACCAAAATGAGCAACCAGTGTGCTTCTGAATTTCTCCCCCTCTTTCCCTGCTCCCTCGGCTCACTGCTTGAAAGATGATCTGTTCACACTTCCTTTTTTTTTTTTTTAAATTAATGAATTTATTTTTTATTGCAATGAACATCTACAGAGATTTTGGAATTCCATTCATTTATTGTTGTACCCTTCTCTCCGCCCCCCCTTCACACTTCTAATAAGCCAATCCACAAAAAGTATTATCTTAGGGTGTGGTTGGGTCTATTCCAACTCAAATTGCTGTTGTTGTGTGCCACCAAGTGAGAATCAACTCAGAGTTGACCCTTGAGCAGGTTTAAGAAGCTACAAACTGCACAAGAAGAGAATTGCTCATATTTCTTCCACAGATGAGCTGGTGGATTTGAACTGTCCTCCTTTGGGTTGGCAGTGCAATTCTTTATCACTAAGCTACCAGAGCTCCCTATTCCAACTTAACGTGAGCCAACATGACTGACAGAAATGGTTTAGAGAATTTTCTTGGATGTAGTACTTACAGAAGTGGATCCTCAGGCCTTTCTCTGTCAAAGCTATCAGATGGGTTAGAATCAACTTTAACAGCTAAGTGTGTAACCCCTGTGCTATCAGGGCTCCTTCCAACTGCATCTAAGGAGATAGCTTATAGGCAAGCACACAAACACAAAACCAGCCTAATACTTAATCACTGCTTACAGGAAACCGAGGAAACTCTGGTGGCCTCCTCTGGAGGGAGGTGCACTGCTAACACAAAGATCACTCTTCTCTGGCGGTTCAAATCCACCAGCAGCTATGAGGGAGAAAGATGGAAAATCTCCTCCTCGGTGATTTAGAGTCTCTGAAACTCAATGAAGGTTAGCTATGTGTCAGTTCTGACCTGATGGCAATTGAGGTTTTTCTAGTTTATAGGAAATCAGGATAATGATGTACTGTAACAGTCAAGCCCCCGGGGGTAGGTATTATTAATTAGGGGGTCAAATTAGCGGAACTTAACTGGAATCCAGGACGTTCAACTTGAGCAAATCTGCTGACAGACTCCTTCTGTCCTCAGAATATATCTAATAATCAGAATGGGATCTGATAAGATGTGAACCTTGAATAAAAATATCTGAACTATACAGCTTATATATTATAGTTAATAAAATGATAATAAAATATAATACTATTTGTGGGATGTTCACTGCTCTAATAGGTATGAAAAATAAAAAAGCGAGTAAATCATAGTGTCAGAACCGACCTACAGCAGACCCTCCTGTGGGTTTTCAGAGGCAATTAATTACACAGGTGGAGACGGTCCATCCTCCTGTGGAGTAGCTTATGGCCTCGAACTGCATGCCTTTGTGATTATAGCGCAGCTTTTTGCCACTAGGCCACCAGAGCTCATCTCAAGGGGAAGTTGTGTAAATTAGAAGCAATGAGGTAGTACAATGCACTGTCACGTTAGAACTGACTCAGAGCTGACTCTCCAGCAGCTTTTCATAAGGCAGTAAATCACACAGGAAGCGACTGCCCATCTTTGACCTGACAGCGCCTACTAACAACTCTCACGGAGCAGCTGGTGGATTTGAATGATGACCTTTGGGTTGGCAGCCCAGCTGCTTACCACTAAAGCCATCAGAGCTCCCTAGTACAGTGCTTAGACCATAATAAATACTAATTAATGCCAATTAGTTTCTTCTCGGTAATCTGGGAGTAGTAGTCTAACTCCAAAGGCCAGGATCCTAACTTGACCCAGGAGTGAAACTTACTCGAACCACATTTTTTTGCTTTTCTTTTTGGTCTATGACATACACTGGGGGGCTCTGGGGGCCTAGTGGTGGCCCAGTGCCATCTCAAAGACACGCAGTTCGAATCCACTTGCTGTGCACAGGCGAAGGTTGGGCAGTTTCCGCCCACATGATTTATTGCATCTGAAAACCCGCAAGGTCAGCGCTGGGTCATTCCACCTTGACAGCACATAAAATGACACACATTGGTCACTATAGGCCTAGTCAGCTCAGGGCTGCCATCTAGCGGACATATGGCACTGGTGTCCTCAGCATCAAGGGAAATCTGATGCTCAAATGCAGTGGTAGGGTTAACCTTGCAGGTTCTTTTCAGGAAGCGGTAATATTGCCAGTGTTGGGATTTTCTGAACTGCATTCATGCCTTTACCTCCTTTAATGGAAGGATCAGCTTTGTAACTTGATCTTTTCCTACAAACTTGCCCAGGATTTCGTAAGAATCATAGCTCTTGCTTCTTCGCGCCTCCATGATTTTGGAGAGGATCTGCTTTACTTCTTTTTCTTCAGCAATGGCACCAAACAATTCATGGTTAAAAATCTTTGAGGGAATAAAAAGGATTTACAGTCACATAGAGAAAAATGCCAATATAAGTGGTTTCTGATAAAAAGAACGGCTATGGCCAAATAACATCAAATGCATTAATGGTTGGCTACCCAATGTGGACAGAGAGTGGGGTGGAGCTCCCCAATTAAAACAAGTGTGGAAGGAGGACTGGCATCCACTTCCATAATAGCTTGCCTCCAGAAACCCTATGAACCTGGAGAGAGGATGAAAGGCACCCAAGCATCGAGGACTCTCCTTCATAGGGTCACTATGAGTTGCCTGCAACTCGACGGCACTTAACAACAATAATATCAACAGAGAGAGAGAGAGAGATCGATCAGCTGGCCCAGTGCTACCAAGATGATGCTGCCAAGACAAAGGTGGGTGACTTTTAACCCATGGCCCTCAGGCCAGTCTTTCATTGTTTTTGTTCAGACATTCCTCTAGGTCGTATAGCCCTGGTGTACAAGTTGCCGTCCAGTGGTCACTTGTGGTTGGTGTGAGGCTGAACACTGTGACACGGATGTGTCAAATACATTAATGGTTGGCCACCCAATGCGGACAGAGAGTGGGGTGGAGCTCCCCGATTAAAACAAGCATGGAAGGAGGAGCGGCATTCACTTCCATAACAGCTTGCCTCCGGAAACCCTATGAACCTGGAGAGAGGATGAAAGGCACCCAAGCTCGAGGACTCTCCTTCATAGGGTCGCTATGAGTCACCTGCAACTCGACGGCACTTAACAACAACAACAATGGCCAAATAAAGGAAAGCAAATTGGCCAGGACTGAAGCTAGACAATAGGGTTTTCTATTAGATTTGTTTTCAACACAATTTAAGAATAAATTTTTCAAAAAACAAATACTAAAAGAAGCATCTGGTGGGCAATGCTAATGGGAAACGAAAAAACCCAAACACACACATGAACTTATATAAACAATTGCTTAAGTATAAGGACAGGTACTTCTTGACACTACCAAAAAGGTAGCTTAATTTCTCTGTAAGCATTTCTTAAAATGTTCTTAATTACTGAAGTTAATGTCAATATTTTGAGATAAAACTATTAATATCTACAGTTCTTACTGGTGAACAAAAGGCTTCATAGCAAATTTAGTCTTTGCAAGATGTTAATTTTCCCTGATTAATCCAATTAGCAAATTTAAAAAGTTGATTATTCATAATTTCTACAACGATAAATAAAGCTCTGGCAAGCACATTTTTATCTAAACATCACACCATATATCTGATGATTTCTTTTGTGGAGATGTTCTCTGCTCTCTAAAGAAATCAGAATTCTTTTAAATAAGTTTTACCTCGATCATTATATCTAAGCAGGAGTCCAAATCCCCAACTTGTAGCTTGTGTGTGAGGCCGTGCAGCAATGTGTAAACAGTGAAAGTCAGCACATGGACCTAAAATTACATACATATAGACATTAAATACAAGGTCTACTAAGAACATGGATGGTTAAGAAAATAATACTAAAAAAATGTCAAAGTTATTGTATGGAGAAACACTGATTAAGGTCATAAATGACATTAACTGAAGTTTTAATCTAAATTATTACTTAGTATGAAAGCTGTTCAGAAATATATTACCTATTTCAGGTCTACCATGATAATGAAATCAGGTCAGGGATTTATAAAGAAAGGACTAACAGTTTGGGACTTCAAAACTAACCTGTGAATTAAGAATGCTGGAAACGTTGAATGAAATTTAACAGATATATGAAGTATCATGAAGCAAACAAATTAAGTACTATACAATCAGCATTTTTCAGAAAATGGGATACAGAGACCAAGTGTGATGTAATATGTGTATGGTTATCTCTTGAACAACTGTCTTTAAAATTATACAAAGAGATAAAGTTAAGATTAATGTTTTTAGTGTGTCAGACTTGTAAACCATTGAATTTTCAAGAAAGCTCATCTATCAATAGAATTAGGTTATAAAGCTAACCACCATAAATCTTGCTTGGGTAAATAGTAAGCGGTGGTTTCTCCAATGTTAAGTCACCGGGATGTCTTATTAAAATGCAGACGTGGATCCTGCAGGCCAGCCGGAGGGCTGGAGGTTCTGTGTTGCTGACAAGCTCTGTGCCGTAGGGCCTATGATCACACTGTGCGTGGGCCAAGAAACTCCACAGCCTGGAACTCTGCCTGGCATTCGCTGTTATTATGATCAACAATAGCAAATTTTCAACTCTTAAACAAATTTCACTGTGTGTATGTTCTTAGACATTCTCATGTGGGACAATCCAGTCAGTACACTCAACAAGCATCATATAAAGAATTTAGAATACAAAACAAAATATAATGTGATTCAAGAGAGGAAAAAAGCAAGTCATGTAAATGAGAGCCTCTTAATCTCCTTAATAAATATAATAAAGAAGCTTTTCAAGATCAGATTTCTTAAATATTGATTAGAAGTAAATCAATCTTACTGAAGACGAATACAAACATCACGAGTACAATCCAAATGAATATAAAGGCCACCGTGCACTTTACCTGATAACCACGCACAAGTGTACTCTGTAATTCCTTTAAAATGTACTGCAGGTAGTGCACACCCAGATCCTCTATTATTTTGGTGAGAGTGCTGCGTGCAATATCCCTGATTTCCTGTGCTCTGTTCTTGAGAAGGGCACACACTTTCAGCAAAATACTAGGAGATGAGAAATATAAAAAGGGATTAAACAAGTCAACAGAAGCAAGAATAAACATAAGGACCTTAGAGATCTTAATTACTTATAATCTAAATTTCCCAATGAAGACCTCAAAACCATAGCAAAGAGTGACAGGACTGCTCCGACTGACAAAGGGTGTTCAAGAAGTAATTTTGAGTTTTACTGAACTCTCCTAACGTGTCCCCTAATGTACCTTGGCAGATTCGTTTCCATAACTTCCGGTGGCAGGGACTGCATTAGTTTAACCATGGCAAAAGCCAGAGGCACACGAACCACTTCCTCGTCATTCACAACCTTTGACTTGATGAGCTTGTGCTCTTCTTCTCTTTTGGTCTATAAGAAATGTTTCATTAAAACAATTCTGAGGTAGCATCTCACCCCAGCAACAACAGTGAAGTTCATTAGGGCAGCAAACAACAAATGCTGGTGAAGTTGTAGAGAGACTGGAACTCTTTTACTGCTAGTGGGAATGTAAAATGGTACCCCCACTATAGAAAGTGGTCTAGCGCTTTCTTGAAAAGCTGAAAACAGAAATACCATTTGACCCAGCTTTCCAACTACTGGGAATAAACCCTAAAGAAACCAGAGCCGCGACTCAAACAGGTGATGCACACTGATGTTATTCACAACAGCGAAGAGATGGAAGGAGTCCAAGTACCCATGAACAAATGAAGGGACGGCAGCATTGGAATACTAAGCAGCATCAAAATACTTGTAAAATACTACACAGCATGGGTGAGCCCAGAAGACATTATGCTGAGTGAAATAACTCATTCACAAAAGGACAAACACTGTACAGCACCACTGTTACAAAGTCAGAACGACACAAAGGGATGGGAGTAGAAGGAATGAACAGGAAAAGAGTGGACAGATAATGAACACAGCACTGGGAACAGATGAGAGGAAGGACTGTCTGAAAGGTAGGATTAGGTATTATATGTAGGACAGCAAATAATCTGGAACAAGAGGTGTGTTACAAAGTGAACTAGGGGAGGAGGACTAGAGGAAGAAAGAAAATGTGCAACAAGGAGTGAATGAAAACCTAATCTTTCTGTAAACTGTTGTTAAGATCACAATTAAATATATTTATATAAAAAAACAAAACACCAGAAAGGTTTCAGGTAAAACAAAAAAGACAAAGATAAGGGAATTCCTAAATGAAATCTTTCATTTCAATGGTAAGCTCTTTTCATGTCTCTTTCTCATGTTTCTTACTATCTGAAAACAGATAAAACCCAAACAATCTGAAAACTGTATGAAACTTACAGAAGTGGCATGGATTTGAATAAAAACAAAAACTCTTAACCCTGTTTCCTGTAGGCCATCAGAGCTCTCTATTCCTATAAATAGTTTAAAATGAGCACACAGAGAAAGTACAGTCAGGCTTCCACTGACGTGACTCAGATGGACAACTAATACTTAAGAAACACAAGAAATCTGTGTCAAGTTGAGCTTTAAGTTTTGAGTGAATACATTTTGATCCAAGTGCAAAACGATTTACTTGTTGGTATAAAACAAATACAGTGCCTCACTTAAGATGATCTATATACAAACATAGAAAATAACCAAGTTAGTGAAGTATTTTACACCAAAAATCAGCGAAGTTTTTCTGCCAAGGGCCAGATACTAAATATTTTTGGCTTCATGCGCCATATATATTGTAATGACTTAATTCTGCACTGCTGTACTGAAACAACATGAAAATAAACAGGCCTGACTGTATACAATCCAACTTATTTATAAAACCAATCTGTGGGCTAGATTGGGCACACAGGCTAGAGCTTGCCAACCCCATTTTGTTCAGAAAAATTAATGGTTCTGATACCATGAGGATGAGTTGTTTAATGCTCTCTTTGTTAACTGGGTTATCATGGATTGAATTGTGTCCCCTAAAGGACAGATGTCAATTTGGCCAGGCCATGATTCTCAGTGGTTTAGCAGCAGTGTGATGAGATTTGATGTGACCATGAAGTGATCTCGAGGGAACTCTAGTGGCTTCGTGGTAAGGAGTTGTGCTGCCAATCCAAAGGCACGTAGTTCGAATACAGCAGCTGCTTTATGGGAGAAAAATGAGCAATCTTCTTCCATGTGCTTTACTGCTTCTGAAAACCTTTTGGTGGGCCACCTATGAGTTGGTTCTGACACAACAGACACCAACAAAATCATGAAGTGATCTGATGTGATTACCCAATCAGCTGCAAGAGATTTGTGGGGACGCAAGCAATAGGTTTTACTTGAGTCTCAGCCTTGATCCAATATAAGGTTGTAAGGGGATTTTTTTTTCTGGGTGATGGATTGCATTAGCTTTTCTCTTATAAGAGACAAAAGGAGAAAGAGACAGGTAAACAGGGAGGGACTACTACCACCAAGAAAGAGCTAGGAGCAAACAGTGTTCTCTGGACTCACGGTCGCTGTGATAAAAACTTCCTAGAAACACAGAGGAAGAATGATGTTAACACACAAGGAGGTCTCCAAGGAATGCTGGTCCCACAGATGCAGAGACAAGGGACTCTCTCCTAAACTGTGAGCTGGTAGACAGAAAGCCCTCCTCTGCAACTAGTGCTCTGAGTCAGGACTTCCAGCCTCATAAATGGTAAGGAGAGAAATTTCACACAGGATTTAATAAAGTCATCCACTTAGCATATGAGATCATTAAGTTACCGGGGAAAGATGGATTCTGAATAGTGCCGCAGTGGTCAAGAAGTAAAAAAGGAAATAATCTAATTTTTAACAACTTTGTTTTAGAAAGGGGAGTCATCTTAGATGTACTCTAGAGACAATCATATATCCCCCACAGCAAAATCCTAGCCGCGTAGATGAGCCCGAGTTTGGCGACGTCAGAGGGTGATGTAACACGGAATGTGGAGATAAAGGGAAATCCCAAACCTGACATCTGTCAGCAACAGTGAGACAGGGCCCCACCCAGTCCCAGCTCACAGAGACTCTCCCTGGACCCCCGAACAGAAAGATTACCGTGGATGCAAGGCATTTATGCAGCTTGGGTAGGATATCCCCAGTTATGGTTGCGTGGATATTTTTAATTGTTCTTTCCAATTCTTCCTTATTCTGAGGCAGGAAGGAGATGGGCTTTGTGGGACCCTCGGATTCCTCAGCGGGCGTCTCTTCGGAATCTGCTGCCTCGGGATTTCCTGGCAACTCGTCGTTGTCCGACAGACTCTTAGAGGTGTTTTCTTTTTCTTCTCCCTCCTCACCTCCTTCTTCTAACTCCATGGCTTCATGCTCTGCTACCTCAGTCATTTCGACTGTGTCTAGGTTTAGAAAGCAACAAAAATCACCTTAAATCAAATAAGGAAATACACAATTGTGTTCAGAAGGCTTTTCCACTAATGTCTGACAGATCATTAAAAAATATTTAATCATCAACTATGGACAAGAAGTAAGAAGTGCATGAGACAAATACATATAAATGAGAAGGCCAGGACTTGAATTTCTCATACTTGAGTCTGTTGTTGTTGCTGACGGCCTTCAAGCTGAGCACGACTCACAGTGACCCTATGAACAAAAGGCCTGAAACCTCTCTACAACAAATGACATTTATCAAAGTTCATTGAGTTTCCAGAGGTGTGTTGTTTAGGAAGTGGACACCACTCCTGTCTAATGAGTAAACTGTCAATTAGAGTGTGAGGCATGATGGGAGCCAGTGAGAGGCCGGGCTGCAGAGTCCTAACTAACAGAAAGCGTCCCAAGGACTGTGGTTGGCCAAGGTTTCTAAAGCAAAATCTACTTTTCACAAGCATTACATTTACAAAGGTAGCCAATGTTCCCTAATTCCGTGGCCTAATGGGTAAGGAGTTGCGCTGCTGACCCAAAGATAGCGGATCTGAATCTACCAGCTGCTTCTCCACAGTTAAATAAGACTTGATGAGGATACACATAGCATACTTTTGAACTTCTTTTAATCATTCTAAAGAGATGAAGTTCTGCATTCTTTAATTCATGATCAGAAATTATCTAAGGAGGAGAGGAAAACCTAGTTTAAGAAACTTTAAAAACATACTTTCTTCATTCTGAACTTTCCCCATTTGCTCTTCGAGAGTTTTGTGATCGAAGTGGAATGCTTCTAACACTATCACCAGCAAACTGTTAGGAAAAATGATACAGCGACGTTAATTTCATTATTAATATAATTTGGCTAGTGAAAGGACAGATTTTCATTCAGAGAGCAAATTTAAAGTTTTTAAGAGACATTATGATTATTTTCATTAATTTTAGGGTTTTTTTTTAACTTTAAAATACATTAACCTCACTTTGTTAATACAGTGTAAAAAGAAACAGTTTAAAAAGAGATTATGTCCTGCCCCCAACCCTCACCTCCTTGTACCTCCAATATGTTTTTCCCAATAAAAAAAATATTAAAAAAAAGAAAAAAGAGATTATGTCAGAAAATAATTTTAAAATCACATTTTTTAAAAAAAAAATAAGAAGTCTGATTATACCTGACACCCAACTTTTGATTGATCTGTCCTGTGAACAGGACATGAATGAAATGTTTCAAGTAATATATATATGCTGGCCAGGAGAGATGTTTACATATTGCTCCAATAACCTCTGTGGCAGCTATGGTTATATTTTCATGCTGTAAAACAAATCAAGAGCATTAATACAGGACAAGTATTTCCTAATAAATAAAAAATTAATCAGTATATAAAAAAGCTTACACTCCAGGTGCACAATCATTAGGGAGAGGAAAGAATGCTTTTCATTTGAACCCTAGGAGCGGTACACATGACAACCGCTATTATTATCACCTCCGTCCTAGGAAAAGATGCTTTCAATGAAAAGACAAGACACTATTCTCTAAAGAACACTGAGGTTTTCTTTTCACTTTTCAGTTGAGAACTTTTCACTCAGGCTACCCTGATAAGTAAGTATCATTTTAAGACTGTGTAAGTTGATAAGGGCCAAAGTTAATTACAGACTGCACTGTACAAGCACTTAAAACAAAATGTACAATGCCTTGAAGACTTCTTGTCCACCATGACGGGGAACAGGGATGATGGAATCAAAACCCATAAATGGAAAATTCTACAAAATTTATGAAACAACAGTTTTCTCATTCTGAGTATGAACCTGTTCAGTACAATCCCTGAGAGAAGGGAATGGGTGATGGCTTATATTACCTAGGTTACTGTGTGGTCACAGGACAAAGAATCGAAACAAAATCCAATGATTCTGAGGTGAGACAGGGTTGAAAATATGAAAAGTCATGGTAGCTAGAGCTCAGAGCAGAATATCAGAACGAGTAAAGGTGTTTACAAAGATCTTGGGTTTTAGCAAAGTCTTGACAGAGAAGTGAAATGTATGGGGATAAAACCTGTACACTGATAGCCAAGATATCAATAGAGAGGATAAGATAAAATAATAAAAGTATTTCCTCCAATAGGAAGAAGAGAAATGTGATAAATGGAAAAGAAATACCATTGGTATAGATTTAAACTCAACCATATTAAAAACTGTACTAAGTATGTTGTGTGTACTGTAGAGTTGGAACAGACCCAAAGCTGACCCTCCAGAGGGTTTTCAGAGGCAGTTGATCACACAGAAGGAGATTGCCCATCCTCTTCCCACAGAGCAGCTGATGGACTCGAACCACATGCCTTTGGGATTGCAGTGTAGCTTCTTTGCCACTAGGCCACCAGAGCTCCCTTGTATTAAGAATAAATAATCTCAGATGCTTTGCTGGGGAAGGAGGGGCAATCTCCTCCTGTACCAGTCAGATCTGATTTGACGGTACATGCACACAAAAATAATAAAGTAAAAAAAAAAAAAAAAGAAAAGAATAAATAATCTAAATATCCAATAGGGAACTCTGGTGGCCTAGTGCTAAGGAGCTATGCTGTCAACCCAAAGGCATGTGGTTTGAATCGACCAGCTGCTCCTAGAGAGTGACAAGGGCATTCTTCTCCCATGCAATTAACTGCCTCTGAAAAATCCACCAGACAGTCAACTATGAGTTGGTTACAACTCAATGGTACTCAACAAAACACATCCAATTGTCAGACTGAATAAAAAACACTCAAAACCCAACTGTATGCTGCTTACAAGTCAACTCTGTAAATACAATGATGCAAACAGACAAAAAAGTTAAAAGGCTAGAAAGCGATATGCCATGTTAACCCCAATCAACGCTGTACATAATTCCCCCCATCTATGTCTTTTTCCTATTTTACTTCCATCACACCTTGAACTGATTATATTTAATGGCTTATTCCAAGTAGAATTCAAAAGAGTATAATTTTAATTACGTGTTTTAAATATTTCAAATCTTGAAACAACAGAGAAAATTCATCACTGCACAGGCCATGTAATCAACACAGTATAAATTCTAGTCACAGCCCTGACATTACCTCAACTAGACTCCACTTTCTGTCATTATTTAATATGAAGTCTTTCATATTCATCTCTTTTCACTCAACTCCACGGCACCAAGTCAGACCATCTCAGCGGTGTCCTCCAGAGCGTTTTAGATTCTCCCGTGGAGCCACTGGAGGATATGAACTGCCCGAGAGGCTGCCTCTGCACTAGCAGCACCACTCCCCACAGGCCAGGCCTCCCGCACTCCCTGTCATCTATTTTAGTCAGTAACAAGTATTTTCCAAGTCTTTACCATCTGGCTTAAGCACTGTGCAGTATAATGGTTAAGATATCCCAGAGTTCCAATATCAGCTCCAACTCTGTGTCGCTGAGATACTTACATATTCTCACTCTACTCCCTAGTCAAAGTGTTTAAGAAGAGGCAGCTGTTGGTTGGGAAAACAATGACTCCTGCTGATTGGTGAAGTTTATCGTAATTAAGTCCCATGAAAAAATAACTAAAGCATGCCATCTTAGTAAGAGGACCATTTCTGTATCTGGAATGTATTTTCTGCCTATCCTTTTGTGAGCTGTTAATAGTAAATATATAGTGTTTACTGTGTAGGCATAGTTCACAGTGCTTTAGAGTGATTCTGAGCTTCTGATTATTGTGGCAGCATCACCAGGGATGCCACCAAAGCCATCTATCTTGGAAGCATCACGGTATGAGGAGAAGCTTAGTGGTGTAGCAGCTCATTTACTGCCTACCTTGAGCATTTTCTCATCAAAAATTGGCATCATGGCGTAAGGAATAATGTAATTCTGAAGAGATTTAGAAGACAGCACAATTTTGCCTTCCATCAGCTGCTTTGCCAGTTTCTTCAGGGCTCGTGCTCTTCTGTGAATCTGTGAATTAGGTAAAATATTACTGAAAACGCTCACCCAGACCAGCTGCATTTCTGTATAGTGTTCTTTTTCCATGAAAAGAATAAACAAGTGAAACACAGTCCATATGCTACATGAGCAAACACCTGTGCTGTGATCTGCTTCCAGAGACATAATCCTTAGCATTTATGGAACAATGGGTTTGAAAGCATTTACACTTTTTATAAAAAGGCAGAGAAATGTGACACTATTATTAATTGTGGCTTGTGATGCTGCCAAAGAAATCACATGACAAGATGTGATCATCTTATATGCAAATATGACGATGACCATAGAGATCCTGGTATGGGAAACTTCTATTTATGGTTTTCGGGAAGCTAAAATGTGCCTTTCTCAATGAGGGAGGATGGCTCATTTAGAGAAACGCTTCTCCTATGGCCAGAAGAAAGTAAAACTGTCTTTTACCTGAATGTGCTTCATGTTCTCAAAGAAGTCCATTTCTGGGTCATGGTAATCAGTAAGCTGTACCAAGTCTTTAAATTCCAGTTGATCTGGAAAGGTCTGGATTAGACAGGAAAGCAGTGTCGTATAATCCTGTTGAATACTCTGCAAATAGAGTTGAAGAGGGTTTGGGGAAAGATTTTAAAACAAACTAGCAATTTGCACCCTAGAAAATACAAAAAAATCCCCAAACCCCAATACTAAAATTAAAAGGATACTAATTTTTTTCAAGAAAAGATATCCGCTGTAAAAATGTCAAAAAACAAACATAAAAAACAAAACTGCTCTCCTTTCCATTCAGACAAACCCATTAAAAATCTGATAAATATTTTCACACTCAAGTATTTTAATTAAATGTACTAAGCCTGATTGTTGTTCAAGAACAGTCAAAAAAAGAAAACAAGCAAACAACAAACTGTCAGGTATTCAAAGCGACAACTGCAAATCCCATTACCTCTGTCTGGCTCTTCAACCCTTTTCTCAATTTCTCCAGGAGTGAACGCTGAATGAGTTCTCGATATTCCTTCTCTGTAAAGTTCAAGGCAGCTAGTCTTTTGATGATACTTATCAGGCACACACTGGCATTATCACTTAAAGACATGTCTCCTAACTGGAAAGAGGAAGAAACAAATTTTTGTGTGCAGTACTGATAAAATGCAGTATTATTTCTCAATCAGACTGTTTACATAAATCTACCACTGCACTGTGTAAACATCACCACTCAGAAATGTACAAGTGCTTCCTGCGTCAGGAAAAACAAATGTAGGGATGAGATTAATATAATTAATGACTGAAAAATCATAATTACTGAGAAATATGGTTCAATGTCAGAAAGTACCTTTAAGTAAGTTTTATCCCCCAATGTAAGAATAAGAGGTTCAATAAAACCAGCTTTCAATATTCAATTTCAGGTCATTATCACTGAAAATTGGCATGTATAATTCTGTTTAGCAGATCTATTTTTTTCTGATTTTGTGAAGTAGTTAGTTAAGCAATGCTGTTACTAACTTAATGAACCAGGTGGGGATTTTTAATTCTTAAGGTTCTTTAACATAAGATGAAAAACTAGAAAAAGTAAAAAAAAAGAGAGTATTATTGCCACTTATATGGGTTTTATTTTTTCCATTTTAGATTTCCATTCAACATGACATGTAAAATAGATTAACCCTCTGTTTACTGTCTCATCTTCAACAAGAAAGGATAAACTATTTTTAAAAAACCCCTTCATTCAATGGCAGCCAATCCTATTCCTTCCTTAGTGTATCCTCTCAAAAAGCCAAGGCAAAATCATAGCCATGGAGTCCAGAACCAGCTCAGAATTGACCTTCTGAGAGGAGATTGCTCATCTTTTTCCCTGTGGTGCAACTGATGGACCTCACCTGCAACTCCATCCCCATTGTTGTTGTTGCTGTTATGTGCCGCTGAGTAGCCTGCAACTCAGAGACCCGATGTACAACAGCCCTAAACTCTGCCCTATCTTGTGCCAATCCCACTGTCTCCAACAGACCTATCCCCATTACCCCAGTGATGGAATCAATCCATGTTATTGAGGATCTTCCTCTCCTGCACTGTCCCTCCACTCTCCCAAGCATGACGTCCTTCTCTAATGACTGATTCTGACTTGCAACATGCCCAAAGTATGTCAGACAAAGCCTCAGAATCCCTGCCTCCAAGGAGCAGCCTGCCTTTATGCTCTCCAGGACAAACTTGTTTGTTTTCCTAGCTGTCCATAGTATATTCAATACTCTTCTCCAGCACCACAGCTCAAAGGCATTAGCTCAAAGGATGATCCTTCTATCATCCCTAGTCATTGTCCAGCTCTCTGATGCATAATAAGTAATTCAGAATCCCTACTGCCTCTGGTAGCCATTTATTGTAACATATACCTCATCTGACTTTTTAAATGTGACTCCACATACAGTATTTTGTTTATCTTTCATATTAAAGAATAGCAATATATTTCTTCCCAAACAAAAAATTCTGCAACTAAAATTTTTTTTAATTAAAAGCTTTAAAAACTCAAACTCACTGCTGTCAAGTCGATTCCAACACCTAGCAACCCTCTGTTGGGTCTCTGAGGCTGGGAATCTTAATGGGAAGGGATTGTGCGTGTGGTGGTGTGGAACCACCTGAGATGCCCTGCCTTTTGGTGAGCACAGAAACAAACTAAAGACTATGCCAGAGCTCCTTTCTAAACCCTTGTGCCCCTCAATAAAAGAACAAACTAAACCAAAAACACATTTAGAAGAATTAAGGTATAAAGCTGTATTATTAAAACAGTGAAAGATGATTCATAGTTTCTTGTTATAAGGACCTACCTCGAGATTATAGAAACAGTTATGCATAACTGGAATCAAGTAATTGACATCTATTGTTTGCATTTCTTTGACGTGAGCTGTGATGCTCTGGAATGTTGAGAAGCGAACATCAAAGTTGATATCATCAAGATGTCTTTGGTCAAAGGCGTTAAGCTATCAAAAAAAAAAAGGGCATTTAAAGTCACATAAGTTATGGTGTGCAAGTCTTTTTTAAAAAAGATAGTATTTTTGAAGAAAAATTTTTTTCTTTCTTACCTTGACAACATCAGTAATATACTTTAATTCACCTTGAAAATCAGAAAGAGTCTATAAAGAAAAAAAAAAATACTGTTTTAAGTGGATAAAAACCATTTTTTTATGGTCTTTCCCTCTCTCTACAAAAATTCATACAGAAATATCATACTGGCACCAACAAAAACACTATTATGCTTTACATGTTACAGTCACTGACTCAGGAAAGGAAGGATTCGGAGTCAAAAGAACTATTACAGACCTGGAAAACAGAACAAAGCAACTGCCGAGACAACTTGTTCTTAATAACTGAGAAGAGCCTTGCCAGAGGTTTGAGGAAGCTGGTAGGGTCCGAGCAATGCTTCAGCAGGTTTTGCACTGTCACCAGAATATCAAGCTCTGTCTCCTGAAGAAGAAAAGGAAAGAAAAATCTTATCTCATTAATTTATGAAACCAGTTCACTTAAAAAGAAAAAAAAAACAAAACAAAAACACACTAAACTATTTCACTTAACTAATTAAGGATGTACAATAGTACTAATTACAAAATTACTTGCTAGTCTTGCAGCGAACATTATTATTTTACACTAAAACGCCCCTAACTGCTTCATATGCATGTGACAACTGCACAATGAACAAGGAGAACTGAAGAAGAGAGATTCCTTTGAACTGTGTGCTGGTGGAGAGTACTGAATACACTACAGATTCACACAAGCACAAATCTGTCGTGGAAGAAGTATGGCTGGATGCCAAAGGGGAATCTTCCTGGACAGGCTGTTGGAGGGCCAGTTCCTGGGGAATGACATCATGTTTAGAAAAACAGAGGGTCACCAAAGGGAGGAAGATGCCAAACGCGATGGACACACGCTGTGGTTTCCACAATGGGCGTAAGCACAGCAGCGTGTGAGGATGACACTGGATCAGGCAGGGTTTAGCTCTGCTGCACTTGGACTTCCTATGAGTAATAGCCAGATTGCTGGCACCTAATGACATCGACAGTAGAGTCCTTTAATTTGGAGACTATGCAGTCTTAAACACAATTTTGCCTATTGTCCAGTAATAAAGAACCAACAAAATGCGTGTGGTGACTAAAAGGACACACTGAATTATTAAGTGAGAGAAGGTGCTCAAGGTAACTACTGAGATCTTTTTCTAAATGACTGTAAGCTAATGGAGCTCTCTTCCAATCAAGCCTACACCAGGATTTAAAAATCCTAACAGCAATCTTTAGATTGTTATGTGGTGTCGAGTCACCTGTAACTCACAGAAATCCTACGTACAACAGCTCTGAAGCCTGCCCTGTTCTGAGCCAGTCTCACTGATTCTGACTCACCTACCCCCATTGCCCAGTTACTGCATCAATCCATTTCATCTGGGGTCTTCCTCTCCTGTGCTATCCCTCCACCCTTCCCAACATGAAGTCCTTCTCCAAGGACCAGCATCTCCTGGCCATGTGCCCAAAATCTGTGAGACAGAGCTTCAAAATAATAGTCTCTAAGGAGAAACTTAGTTTCACCCTCTCCAAGACACACATATTTGTTTTCTTGGAGATGTGCGGTATGTTCAAGACTCTTCTCTAGTACCACAACGCAAAGGCATCAATTCTTTTTTTCTGTCATCCTTAGTTACTACCCAGTTCTTTGATGCATAGCAAGTAACTGCAAAAACCATGGCCTGGATCAGGTGCACCTTAGTCTCTAGACTGGCATCGCTGCTTCTCGGTACTCTGAAGAGGTCCATGACAGCAGATTTACCTAATAAAATTCATCACGAAATCTTTAGATATGCCTGAGTATTAAAATAATCAGGCTTTTCATTCAAGTTCTGGCTCTGTGACCCACACATATGACTGTGCAATGCACTCCTCGGGTTCCAGGTATGTTACTGATTATTCCACTCTTCCTGCTGAGTTGGTTCAGACTCATAACGACCCTCCAATGGGTTTCGGAGGCTGCAAATCTTACCAGAGCTAAGATCCATCTTTCACTTACAAGGGCCTAGTAGATTAAAACTGTTGATCTTTTGGTGAGAAGCTTGACATCTTACTCACTAAGCTACCAGGAATCCTTGTTATTGAGTACAGTCACAGGGAAAAAAAGAAAATCCCACCCAGGATTAAATGTAGCTCTGGTGGCCTAGTGGTATGGAGCGGTGCTCCCATCACAAAGGCATGTGGCTTGAACCCACCTGATCCTCTTCAGGAGAAAGATGGGCAATCTCCTCCCATTCAATTTACTGTTACTGAAAACTCACTGGAAGGTCAGCTATCAGTCGTTTAGACTCAACGATACAATGCAATAACAACAAACTGGATTAGAAGTTAAACACAGACAATGAGGGCTGAATACTTTTCCTGTTACGGGAGATGGCAACACAAAATCTAATGGCTATCTCCATCCCAATTTATTCCCCTTCATTCTCAATTTCCTATTTCTGTGTGCAGTCTTTAAAGCTATTTGCGACAAATACATTATAGAATTTAACCAATGAAAGCACTGCTCACAAATAAGTGACTAAATACGACTTCAAAGACACAGTCAATGAACTTGTACCTCGGCAATGTTGGCACGGTGGAGGAAAGGAAGGAGGAGTGCAATGAGTAGAGAACTCTGCTCTTTGTCTTTCATAAACTTGCTGATCCTAAAGAGGGGAGAAAACAGATTTGTCAGGAAGATGTGCAACTGAAGAGTAATAAACTGCCCTACGCATGTGACACGTAGAAAAAAGTTAAAGCTCAATCACTGACTAGGCCCACTCTTCTTCTCTCCAACATTGGGTTTAAGGTAACTACTTTTATTTCTTCTGCAGTGTCTAACTATACGTGGTAAACACTGTTATGTCTTTTCTGTACAAGAAAATTAATTTTTTTCCAGGATCTGGAAGTATTATGTGCTATTAAGAGCTCTGTGTACAAGATTTCATTATAATGCCTGCAACAGCCTGGCAGGGTAGTAGGAATGATTAGTCCATTTTATCCAGAGGGAATGGAGACTCAGAGAAACCAATGCCACGTGGCGAGTAAGTGGAACAGCAGATCTTGTAAACGCTGATCTTCCTTGTGCCCATCTCTAAAATTCTTTCACTACTATATATTTTGTGATGAAATGTACTAAGTACATTTACATGGTCCCTCACTCTATGTAATTAAGAGAGAAAAAATCAAAAAAGGCACCACATAAAGGTTTCCTGGAAGGATGTAACATATCCTGGTTCTTCTTGCTGAAAATAGTAGAAATGATAAATTTCCAACAATTATTAAGGCAACTAGTCAATTTAAAGTTTAAGAAGGGGATCATTTCTGGCATGCAGGATCACTCTCCTTGCCCTTGACAAAAATCATTAATATGTATTATTATACATTACTGGATCTACTGCCAAACAGATTCTTTGGAAATGCTTGCAGGATCTTAGTTCTTCAAAACCCAATCAACCAACTTGCTCTTAATTTTTGCCAAATAAGCTCAAACAAATAATGGAATCTCACATAACTAAAAACTTTAAACAAAATTTACAAAGGCTAAACAAACAGATCTAGAAGTCTGTGTTAGAATTTTAAAGTTTGTTCCTTCTAGTATAATTAAATGAAGTGCAGTAAAAAGCTTCTTATGAATACTGCAACAGACAATAGGCCACAGTAAGAGGCATCTGAGACACTGGAAACCATTTTTACTTCTTACAACTATATTCAAACAAGTGGAAAATGAATTACAATTTTTTAAAAAACAGAAAACCATGGTGGCAATTGTATTTTAACACGAATATGTCACTTACTTGGAAAGAATGCCAAGCTCCTTGCTGACTTGTGCTCTGTTCTTTTTCTTTTTCACCTTTTCTGCGCTAATTGTGGTTTTGCTGAGATACTGAAGAATTACAGGTACGTGAGGTAGAATTAACCTCCCTCCTATCGTGAGAGACTCTGAAATAGACAGGGAAGAATGTTTCGATTTTAACAAGCTACTTTCTTAAAGCATAACTGTATCTTCATAATGATGGATTTTTTTTAAAAAGCACTGACCTGCTAAGCAAAGGTAATCATAGGTGTTCAACTCTAAAAAATTACTTTCTTCTTAATCAAACTAGCCATGTCTCTAAGTTAAGAATGTATGAGACCTCACAGTTTTATTTAAATGGATGGTAGTAAAGACGGTGGTGGCAAAGGCAATGCTGAGAAAGCATGCGGAGAGGAAGACGTGACAGTGGAAAGGACTCGATAACTTCCCGAAGGACAGGTGGAGCCTCTCAGAAAGCTGACCATCTGAATTCTAACTACTACACAGTAAAGTCAACTTATATTCATTAATATCATCAATTTCTGGAGAAAAGTACAATTAAAAGACCAGGTTATCAATTGTCAAATTCTACTGGCCTTTTCCTTTCAGAGTGAACCAGCAGCAGCTACCTTGGAAGCCCAAGATCAAACGCTCTGTCTGGCACACGTACCGTCTGCATTTTCTGCCATGTCAGAGTACACGCAGCCTGTGACAGGCAAGTTCGAAACGGTTTCTGTGGGCTCAAAATCTGGAAGGTTGAGGAGGTCATCGGCGATTTCCATCACAATACTGGCTGTGGCGTCAGAGAGATTCTTTGCTGACAGAATTGCAAAAACATTGGTCAAAATATCACACTCTGGATGTCCAGGCTTCTGTTTAGCCAGAAGAGGGAAATACCTGCAAGAAAAACATTGGCATAATCACCTTCTTTCCTAGAAAATTTTCCATGAGTTTCAATAACTTAACAAATATGCACACATAAACAGACTGTGTCACATCCACGCCAATCTTCTATGATAAATTCCCTCCAAAAAGGTAAAAGTTAAAAATGCAGGGTATGATCTCTCTTCACCTACATTTTAAAGTCTTTTCCTACTGGGCATCCTCCAACAGTGTTTTCGAACACATTCAACTATGTCCTTTTGACAAAGGTCAGTACATGCTGAATGGATGCCCTGTGCTGTCAGTCAGATTCATGGTGACTCCGTGTATCACCAAGTGAGCGCTGCAGAGTTTTATTGACTGTGATCTAAAGGGGAGCAGATCACTAGGACTTTTTTCTGTCACTGGGGGAGTTCAGACCAGCGATGGTCTGCAGTTGGATACAATCTGTACCACCCAGGAACCTCTGCCTGTATTATTTACTCAGTATCTGCTGTAAAGAAAGTTGTAGGTAGGTAGTGCTAACTCAGCATGTTAAAGTGCTTGAGCTCTTTTTAACAAGTGCCAAAACCAAATTTGAAATTTTTCAGTGTGACCTTCCCACTATTTGTCAGCACCGAGTCCTGGCTAGAAGGTGGGTGTAAGTTTGGCCTTGGCTGGAAAACCCATGCTGCCTGGACTTTGCTGGTATGGTGTCCCGGTGTAAGTGTTCCTACCATCAGCGCGAGTCTTTCAGGCCTGGGGATGGATTCATTCTTTACCAACCCCTGTGACATAGAATCTATTTCTCTCTGAATGCTGCATCTTTCAACACAATAAATATCCCCTTTGGCCTGCACTAAGTTGCAAGTCGCAATGCTAGGGTTTTCAGGTGAATGTGTATGGGTAGACTCAGGAACCTTGGTGATGGAATGGTTAAGATGAGTCAACTAGGGGTGGAGACACAAAACCAAAACAAAACCCAGGAGTTAATTTAAAAAGATCTGTTGTTAAATCTACTAGTCTCTCTTTGGAGCTCTGGTGGCTTCTTGTTGTTAGGTGATGTCGAGTTGAGTACGACTCACAGTGACCCTATGAACAAAAGATCTGAACCCTGTTTTATCCTGTGCCATCCTCACACTTCCTGACACCCAAGGGCCCATTGCAGTAGTCAGCTTGTCAATCCACCTGATTGAGGGTTTTCCTTTCCTTTGCTGACCTGCCACCCTTCCCAGCATCATGTCCTTCTCCAAGGAATGGCCCCTCCTAGCAACATGCCCAAAGTATGTGAGGCAAAGCTCATCATTCCTGCTTCCAAAGAGCACTCCAGCTGCACCCTCCCCAAAACGTATCTATTCATTCCCTTGGCTGTCCATGGGAAGTTCAGTACTCTTCTCCAGCACCACAGCGCAAAGGCACCAATTCTTTTTCCATCATCCTTATTCATTGTCCAGCTCTCAGATGCATAGTAAGTGATCGGAATGAGCATGACCTGAATCAGACACACCTTTGTCCTCAAACTGACACTATCACTGCTCAATCATGTGGAGAATTCCCTAACTGCAGAGTGTAATGTGATTTAGTTTTTGGTCTGGAGACTTAGTGGAAAAGGAATTACGCTGCTAACACACAGGCTGTGGCTGTTACGTGCCTTGAGTCAGAATCAACCAATAGTTGACCCTCCAGTGGGTTTTCAGAAAAGGAAAACCTTTGCCTGTCCATTTCCCGCACAGCAGCTGGTGGTTTCAGGACTGCAGTGCAGCGTTTTACCACTAGGTCACTGCAAAGCAATGCAAAGGTACACGGTTCAAATCTACCAGCTGCCACACAGGAGACAGATGGGCAATCTCCTCCTGCATGTTCACTATCTGTAAACCCAGTGGAGGGTCAGCACATGACAGCAGTCACTCCACAGGACAAAGACACAACAATCTGCTTCCATAAAGATTTACAGCCTTGGGAATCCTCGAGTGCAGTTCTAATATGTTCCGATCAACTTGACAGCAAGACATCTGGGTGTTGGGGTTTTTATTAATAAGGTATTTTATGAATGCTATTTCTAATTTTAATGAGATAGGTTATTATTTTCATCTTGTTGTTGTGTACCATCAAGTCAGAACCATAACTGACCCTCCAGAGGGTTTTCAGAGGCAGTTAATCACTCAGAAGGAGACTGCCCATCCTTCTCCCGCAGAACAGTTGGTGGCTTCGAACCCTGTGCCTTTGGGATTGCAGCACTGTATCTTGCCATCAGGCCACCAGAGCTTCCTACAGGTTGTGAAACTGATACCCACAGAGGGCAACTTTGCCAAGGAATAAAGTAAATGCTAAAGCAGGATTTGAAATTAGGCTTATGTAGAGTCAATTTGTACAATTAGGATGTTGTATGTTTTCTTTTAAATAGAAATGTCATGAAAACTATTTTCAACTCCTGGCAAAAGCTTAGCTAAGGGCCCATTCAAATCAAATACAAGGCCAAAAGTGACCAAACTTTTTCTTGAACAAAGTAACCTGATACTGTAGCATATTCCTTGCAGATGTAGCCAGAGTTTAGACAAGAGAGTAAATCATACAGAGAAGATCATGTCAGAATCAAAGCTGCTACTCAGAGTGACCTGGTCCAGTCCCAGTTCACACTGCTGTCCTGGCTTAGTTATTTATGTTGCTGTAGTTGTTGTTATATGCCATTGAGTTGCCTGCAACTCACAGCAACCCTATGTACAAGAGCCCTAAATGCCGTTCTATCCTGTGCCAACCTCCCTGTCTCAAACACATTCATTCCCACCACTCCACTCAAAGAAATGATCCATCTCATCGAGGGTCTTCCTCTCCTGTGCCGTCCCTCCATTCTCCCAGACATGATGTCCCTCTCCAAGGACCAGTCCCTTCTTGCAACATGCCCAAAGTATGTCAGACGAAGCTTCAGAATCCTTGACTCCCACTTTTTCATGTCCAAGAGTGTCACAGTTTAGTTAACAGAATAGAAAATGATTCCAGCTAGCTACTAAGCGAGGATTTCTTGTCCTGAGTTTTTATCTACTTTCAGCAATTCATTCTCTTGTAAGATTAAAGACACTGGCACTAGATTGGTTCTACCTGCATTTGTACAAATGTGCAGGAAAATCCCGGATCACCGGGTAGATGAAAAATGTGTTTAAACATCTGTACACATGCTCAGAAGCAAAATTTGCATTTTTTCACTGAGAAGTAACATTTCCATTAAGTGGCTAAAAAGGGCCATTGCTAACTCTTTCATATGCAAAGAAATATGCATACCAACCGCCATGAGAATGTCAAGGGAAGTCAATCTTTCTAGACATTTCTTTCAAGTGAGTATTACAAAAAGAGAAAGGGGGAGAGGGGTGAACGTTCTATAGTTACCGCCTCTACTGCTATGTGTTTCTATAACTTCTAACCAAGAAAGAAAGAATCTGAAGAACTGAATGAGCTGGTATCTAAGGATGTGGCTCTTTATTTTGAGGATTTTCATTTTTTTTTAAAAACACCAAACCAAAACCTAACTTCACTGTCACTGAGTTGATTCCGACCCACAGCAACTTTGCAGGACAGAGTAGAACCATTTCAGAGAGATTTGCCCCTTGAAACCACTGGGTTTCCAAAACAGTAAATTCTGAAGGAAGGAGGACGTCTTTTTCCTATGGTGCAGTTGGTGGGTTTGAAAAATAACCTTTCAGTTAGCAGCCAAGTATAAAACCACTGTACCACCAGGACTCCTGGTTAAGACTCGGGTAATAAAGAAACTAATTTATTATCATAAAGTCTGCCTGGACGACAATCCCTCAAGGGTTATTTGTCCAAAGGTTACATAATCATAAACGAGTTCTCAAGTTTTCCTATGAAGTGTTGCTCATAAATGTTCAGTGATCAAAGCAAATATGAAATAACTTTATCAAACTGGAAAGTAAATTAAAAGATCTCTATCGACCAGTAAAATAAAACAAGTTTTCCTGTGTCAAGATTTTTTTCTGTTGTGAAAACAACTTACTGATATGGAGAAATGTTCAGTATTTAAAAAAAAAAATCAAGTCAGTTACAATAGTAGGTGCTAGTTTTGTAAAAGCCAGTGCCAGAATTTTGATATCACTAAACTAAATCTTGTATTTTCCCACTCATCAACACAGACAAGGGCAAACTTAAGTCTGTTTCCACAATTTAGGCAAACAACACTTGTAACATTTTCACTGCTTGGTAAACAAGCATCTTGTCTCTAGAGGGTGGTATCTCTGCCCCAGCAATAAATGCAGGTTCTGCAAACAGCTCAAAAGGAAGCAAAAACATACAGATGATCAGGATAAAACTTATCACCACTGAGCTGACTGCCACTTACAGGGAGTACCCAGAGGACAGAGCAGACCTACCCTCGCAGTGTTTCCAAGGCTGCATGTAAATTCTTGGGGAAGCAGACCGCCTTGTCCTTGACCCATGGAGTGGATGGTGGGTTCTAACCACAGATCTTTGAATAACCACCAAGTGCCTTAACCACAACAGCACCAGGAAAATGACCAATATAAGTGTTAAGTGTATTTCTGTAGAATTTTAAAATAATAAAAGAATAAATTTAGGAAACCAAAAAAGTCTATGAAATTTCTCCAACTTTAAGCAGAGAATGAGAAAAAAGAATGCTAAAGGTAACTCAGCTTTGGTTTTTAAGCAAGCATGCAGAACAAGTAATGATTATGTAGTAATTAAGTACTGTTTTTCCCTCTGCTAGGCCAAAATAAACTGCCGGTATAAGTAGCACAGCTGACAGAATATCCCTACTTATTCCAAAACGTCTAACTTTTAAGTTTTAATGAAATGGAAAACAGTAGACCTATACTGGCTTTGTTGATACACATTCTATAACGTTAACTTGTAGTAAATTACAAAATGCTATTTTAATCATTGATTTTAATGTAGTATTGTCATCATCATCATTATAATGAATAAACTTAAAAACTGTTAAAAACATATCACGAAGTTCTGTTTTCCCACTGGCCCACTCAAGCCTCAACCTGCTCTAACTGTTATTAGGTACTGTCAAGTACAACCCACAGTAACTCTGTGAACAGCAGATCCTCACTCTTCCCGACACACTCGAGTCCACTGTGGCAGTCACTGTGTCAGTTCACCTGGTTGAGGGTCATCTTCTCCTTTACTGATCCTCTGCCCTTCCAAGCATTATGTCCCTCACCAAGCAATATCCCCTCCTAGAAACATGCCCGAAGTGTGTGGAGCGAAGCTTTATCATCTTTGCCTCCAAAGAACACTCTGGCTGTACTTTCTCCAAGACCTATTTGTATTCATTTTGGCAGTCCATGGGATATTCAGTGCTCTTCTCTAATACTAAAACTCAAGGCATCAATTTGTTTTTCTGTCATCCTTATTTACTGTCAAGCTCTTAGATGTACAGTAGGTGAACAGAAAGACAATGGCCTGAATCAGACACACCTTAGTCTTCACATTTTTATCACTGTTCATCAGTAATTTGGAGAGGTCCCTAACTGTTGACTTTCCCACTGTAATATATTTCCTGATTTCCTGACTGCTGGTACCAAGGGAGTTAACTGTGGATAGAAGGAAGATGAACCTATTGACAGTTTTAATCTCTTCTCCATCCATCATGAAGTCGCTTAATGGTCCAGTGGTAAGAATCTTTGTTTTCTTGACCTTAAGATGCAATCCATATTGAAAGCTGTAGTCTTTGATCTTCTACAATAAGTGCTTCAAGTTTTCCTCACTTTTAGCAAGCAAGGTTCTATCATCTGCATGACACAGGCTATCGACAACATCTATTTTTATGTTGTTGTTGTTGTTGTTGTTAGGTTTTTGAATCAACAACAAAGCGACTCTAAGAATAACAGATCAAAACCCTGCCGTATTCAGTATCACGCTCAAGCCCACCTAGTCTATTTCATTTAAGACAAATGGAATTTTTTAGTGGATCACATTACACATACTGCTTAGCAAGCTGCATTTTCCTTTTAAATATGGCTTGTCACTGTAGTTGTTAACCATTGATTCAAACACAAGAACGACTGTGAAGATGGCACAGTATTGTTCCATTCAGTTCTATTAAAGATCGCTATGAGTTGAAACGGACTAAATGACATCTAACAAAAACATGTTACATTTATTTTGAGATCTTTCCACATCTTAATTCAGTTGAATTACTCTCTTTAACTACATGTGAAGTATTTCAATATACCGAAAATTCTGAGAAATTATACCATTAGCGCCTCAGACTAGGTTAAGGAGCCCTAGTTGTTTAGGGATCTCAGGATGGCACAGGACAGGGAAAGTCTCAGATATGTAGTTCACAGATCTCTGTGAATCATAGTTAACTCGAAGGCAACAACACCACCACCACATGACGCAAAGGTGAAATATTCGACTGCTCACTGAAAAGTTGGAGGTTCAAATCTGCCGAGCGGTTCCACAGCAGGAAGCTTTCTCAGTCTGCTGTGCACAGCACGGCCCAGGAAAGTCTACTGAGCAGTTTTCCTGTCACTCGGGGCTAAGTCAACGGCACGCAACAACGGGCCAGCTTTAAGTAGATTAACTGAAAACACTGTCTTTTTAAAAGGGGCGGGGGGGGGGGGGGGGGGGGGAAGTTATACCTTGCATTTCTGCTCCAGACACTAATTAACTTCAGCAGAGGAGTAGGCGAATACTGACTCTCAGATCCAAGCCTGCTGATCTAGAAGACAAAACCAAAACAGAATAGAAGAATAGGCAAAAGACAAACAAAATTCTAAGGGACAAAAGCAAAAAGAACTAGAAAAGTGAACTAGCACAGAGACCACACAAAAGGACAACAGAGAGGGAGTTCTGGTGGCCTAGTGGCAACAAACTGCACTGCAATCCCAGAGGTATGTGGTTCAAATCCACCAGAGGCTCTGTTGGAGAAGGAGGGGCAGTCTCCTCCTGTACTAGTCCAGATCTGATCTGAAGGTACACACACAAAATAATAACATTAATAATTAATAATAATAATAATAATATTTTTTTTAGAAAAGAGGACAACAGAGAGGAAAATGTAAGGCATTCAAAATAAGACCCACTAGGGGAAGAGGGCAAAATGATGCAAAACAACACTCATAGAAGAAAAAGGGCTAAGATGGTTCGTGGAGGCGTGAGGTGCTGCAAGGGACTTATCAGAAAGGCCAGGTTGCTCAGCAGTCCCGTGGCCAGAGAAGACTGTAGGCTCGAGCCGCCACCAGTAACCTTTTCTAAAGTCCAGCATCTCCTCCAGTTTTCTGGCTGTAACTAGTCCAGTCTTCACTACCAGAGAAATTTAACAAGAAAACAGTCAACAGAATTACCTGTTTTCCTTTAGGCTTGTCAAAAGCAGTGGCATGCTAAGTGAAGGGCTATAAAAGTTGCTACAAAAACTATTCATATTAGCCTTAAGTGTAAATGTCAAGGTACCGCAGAAACCCTCTCTTGAGTTTTAGAGGTAGGGGAAGCAATGGAGGGGGTCTTGGTGACAGAGGAGTTAAGTGTCTGGCTGTAAGCTAAAAAGTGGGTCATTAAACTACCCAGTGTCACCACAGGATAAAGGCCAGGTGGCCCTTTGGATAATTTGACTCTGTTAAATGGAGTAGTCAGGTGTTGAAATTTACTCATTAATTAACAACATGCCAAAAACAACAAAGAAAACTCCACAAACCCACTGCCACAGAACTGATCTTTGATTCACAGCTACCCTGCAGGACAAAGAAAGGTCTCATAGGGCTTCTAAGGCTGTCAACCTTCTATTAATAGACTGCTCCACTGTTAACCTGCAGAGTGACTGGTGGGCTTGAAACACTGACCTTTGGGTTAGAAACTGTATTCTTTAACCATTGTGCCATGAGGACTCGTTAATAACCATAATGAAAGCAAAGAATTCGAAAACTTCAGAAGTATTAAGAAGCTTCATGAGAAAGAGAAAAACAGCATGAGCACTCCCGTCTGGGTGGTAGGCTCAGCTGGTGGAGAAGTGACATAAAGAAGCAGAGGGTTCCCAAGCAAAACAGAGAAATCAGGGTTACCTGAGGCCAAACTGCACCATGGAACATGGCATCAATTTCTTCCGTTTGGAACTGATACGACTCCCAATCCAAAAAGATATCCGTCACCATTTTGATCCCAAGACGTCTTAAATTTTTCAACGGGTTAATAAACCTCAGTTGGATCTACAAAACAAAGTCCTTTCATTACATAAAAATACATGTAATTTTTTTTTAATCCACATGTCCTCAGGGAGGCACTCTTGCTCAGCTGTCTGTACTCAATCTTTGACTCTCTCCTGTGATTCTCTATGGAACTCCTGCTTTCTAAGGAGTCGTACTGCTTCAGAAAGGACACTGAGGACTTAGAGAATGATGAGCTGTGCTCCACTCTCAATGCCCAGGAAAATCATACCAGAGTGTTGTTAGGAAAAAACAAAGTCACAGTCGGAACAGTTGTTTTCCATTCCACACTGCTTTATTCAAATAATGGTTTTAAACAAATCACCGATTTCTTTCCACGAACAGAGCATTCTAATAAAAACAAAACATTTTGTCATCACAGAGCCTTGTATCGGGGGAGGAGGAGAATTTTTAAAATTTTACTTCAAATGAAGTTAACTTTTACTTCTGACTTAATACTTTAATTTTTAAACCTTTCATAAAACAAAGACGTTTACATTATTCTTCCAAAAATTGGTCTAGGAGATGGAACAATTTTTGGTTGTTCTACACAGGAGAACAGAGTAGCTTGTGTAGTTAAAGAATCAACCCAAACCAAACCTATTGCCACTGAGTCAATTCAAACTCACAAAGTAAATACAAGGACTTAATAAAAGCATAGAAGATTTGAGTAAATATTACAAGCAGGTTCTAACTTACCTTGGAATGTCTGACTATGTACAACTGGTGAACCTGTGAACTTAGTAAACAACTCTCATAAAGCTGACATTCAAGGTACACAGACATAGGTACAATCTCTTTAGTGATATGTGCTTCCTTGCAGTATACAAGAAGACATTATTACTATTTTATCATTACATTAAAGGTAGCTCTGTAAATGTGGAAGTGTTTATGTAGTGTACAGAGGGATATACTGTAGTATGTGCAAACAAACATTTGGCTGATGTTGTATAGGAACCATATCTCTTTTGACTTATGTCTTAAAGACATTCAGCTTAAAGAAACAGAGCTTATTTTAATCTGGGAACTGCCGACAGTGCAAATCTAAAGAAAAGCGTGCGTGTCGTGTGCACATCTGTGCCTGCTCATCTGGATGTCTGCATGTGCTCATTTGGCAATGTGCTAATGACACACTTCCCCCACCCCTTCTTCTTTCTTTGTAGCAAATGGAGTCACTCAGCTAGGATTCCCTTCCTTATTAGTTGTGAAATACACCATAAATAGTTCAGGCTCAGCAGAGTCATTTACTGAGCCTTCACAACATTCGTTGAGTCACTTACTGGTTCAATGCCAAGGTCCTATCTTAAACATCTAACTTAAGGAAAACACATTAAATTATGTGACAGATTAAAAGTGCCAGTTAATAGGGGAGGAGGTGCTGTAAACTGGAGAGCAAAGTTTCATGGAAAAGGTAGCATTGCTCTAAGATTTTAAGGGTTAAAAATGTTGAGGCCAAGCAGAAGACAGAAGACCTCAGAGATATAAGAATGTTGTAAAACTAAACAGACACAAGGAAGAGTCAGCGCCAGTATTTTTCCTCCCTTTGATTAGTATACTGGTTGTTGTGTACCAGAGTCAGAACCGACCCCTACCTGACCTTCCAGCAGGTTTTCAGAGGCAGTTAATCACACTGGAGGAGACTGTCGATCTTTTTTCCACAGAGCAGGTGGTGGATTTAAACCATGTGCCTTTGGGATTGCAGCGCAGCTTCTTACCACTAGACCACCAGCACTCCCTTAATATATTGTACTACTTATTTTTACACGTGCCTATTTTAATTTTCAAAGTTCTACATATAATCTTTATTAACTACATCAAACCTAAAGACCACCTTAATATTTATAAAGTAAACACAAACACTAGAGTGAATGTCAAGTCTCATGGCCAAGAGGCAATGAAAAAAACCCCAAAATGTGCTATGGTTTTGGTAAAAATTATGTTCCATGTAAATCTGATACCGTGATAAAAAGTGGTATTAGAAACAGAACCATTTGAAGTCAAATTATGCAAAGATGTCATCAATTTGAGTTAGAGGAATCCATGCATAAAAAGGTGACAGTTACAAACCAATCTGTTATGTTTCAATTCAACTGGCAACATTCCCTCATCAGCTGTACTGCCCACTGATCAAAGATGCCAACTACTCCTGATCTCTGGAAACACGGGATCATGATCCCTGCAAGCAAATTAACGATCACTATCAAACACGTTCAAAAGTAAAGCCCACTTCCACTCTGCCCATTCCTACTAGTCCACGCTCTGCGCTTGGAGGATCTATACATTATTTACTTTTGTATCCACAGTGCCAGCTACCCAGTTTGGAACTACTAAGTAAGCTGCAGAGAACTTCTGAAAATGGGTAATTACAGAAGACTTTCTTGCCTACAGGTTGTTACTTCTTAGTAATCAACAAACACACCTCTTGTTCAAACGCTCCCCAAAACAAAAACCTGCTGACACCGAGTTGATTACAACTCAAAATGACCCTGTAAGACAGGTTAGGTTATCCAGACTTTACAGAAGCAACTGCCGAATCATTTTCCTATGGAGCGGCTACTGGGTTTGAACTGCTGTCCTTTTGGTTAGCAGTCAAGTACTTTAAACACCATGCCACACAGCCCCTTCCTCTTGCTTGAGGTTACCGACCACCTCCCTCTAACAACAAAAACCACCATCAACTTTTAAGATACACAAATTTATGCAACAGTCAGTGCCCTGAAAAAATACAAAAGGTAAAGAAAAAGGTAAATGTGTAACTATGCTCAAAGACATAAATGTAGAACTTTAACTCACTTAACACCTAAGCAATATTATTGAGCAATGATTCAAGATAGCACCTCAAGGAATTCCTTGAACTTATTCAAGAATTAAAAAATAAAATGAACAGCTCCTAACCGTCAACAAGCTCTAACACCTCCCTAACTAATGAACTGTGAAACTGTGGAAATGATTCTCTGAGTTACTGATTATTCACCCAGGAGGAAGGCTTCAGTACTGAGTAACTTCTAGGTTAACCGAAGACTAAGAGTGAATTTGAGCTCAAATGCTACCTCCTTAGAAAGGACCCTGACCACGTTAGTAGTCAACCTGCCCAGTGCACCTCTCCACACCTTGGTCCCAGCCAGTGACATGTGATTTCATCTGATTGAAATATTTAGCATCTTTTTATGTCTCTTCTTGATATGTTCATGCCTTGCTCCACTTTCTGGAACACAAGGAACATTTTTACAGTTGCTTTTTACAATGCCCTTGTCCAGTTCTGTGGTTTGTGGGTTGGCTTTGACGGATTGATTTTTCTCCTCATTCTGGGTCAAATGTTCGTCCTCCTCTGCAGGCTTTGTAATATTTCACTGGATACCAGGAATCGTTAACTTTATGCTGTTCACCAAAATAATTTAAAAGTTTCTGAGCTTTGTTCTGGGACATGGTATATTTTGTTGGAAAAAATGTGATCTTTTTTAAGCTTCGTTAGGTCGAGCCAGGGCAGCCTTCACTCCAGGGTAAAATGGCAAGGACGCCGCTAACGAAGCAATGGGTATCTGAGGGGTGCCAATGGACAGCACAACAGGCAGCCAAGTGAGAGGTTAGACTAAATTCAAGCCCACTAAGACATGTCTCAGAAGAAAGGCCTGGAGACCCACCTCCAGACACCCAGCCACTGAGAGGGCTGCGGAGTGCAGTTCTCTGACACACGGGGTCCCCAGAACTGATCCGTGGCTACTCTTTTTGCTTTTGACTTACTGAGTCAATACCCTTCTAAGGAATGGTCCGGCTGTCCCATTACAAGACTTTACCCTGGAGGAGGCTGTGCACATGAACTTGAATGAGACACTGTCAGTCTGGAGACTGCTCTGCCTGCTCTTTTATGGCAGTTTTTGTTTCTAGTCTAGATGGGAGTAACAAAGACTGGATTTATGCTTCTTGGGGTTTTTTGTTTTTTTTTTAAATTTTATTTTATTATTATATATGTGTGTGTGTGTGTACCGTCAAATCGGAGCTGACAGGTACAGGAGGAGATTGTCCTTCCTTCTCCAGCAGCAGAGCATCTGGTGGATTCGAACTGCGTACCTCTGGTATTGTTATCCTTCTTTCTTTTTAATGTATCCTTCTTTCTTAAATCAACTAAAACCCAGAACAAAACATACACCGACAATAATTTTCAGAGATTATTTATCAGGGTGCAGAGGACAGTGATCCCCAGAAAAGGGGATCCCCAAATGACAAATATGTAAGCTGCACATTGTCTCCAGCTTTCTGCCAGCAAACTGTCCACATCTTAGTGCAGGAGGGGCTCAGGCAAAGCTCACCAATCTCCAAGAGGTGCGGAAACAGCGCTGGGAGTCGGAGGTCAAGAACCACAGAAGCAGGAGTGCTACAGATCTGGAGAGAGCTTCCTCACTTTGCTTACTCTGCGCATTTGTGTATTCTTTCATCATTTCTCTCTCCACGATACTGAGTCTTTACATGTCTCCTTCCTCACCTACCAGAACCATGCCTGGCACAGAGCATGTGCTTAGTAACATTTGTGCTTAGTAACAGTTGGTCAATGAATAAATAGGAATTTTTTTTTAAATAGATCTCTCCTGAATTCCAACTGCCTCACACATAGTAAGAACTCAATTACTGGTTGAAAGAATGAGGAAAAGAAAACCATACTATCAGACTGGAAGGTGTGGTCGAAATCTTCAGATCTTGGTCATCGGATTTTTTTTTTAATTACCAAAGCACATTTATATCCGTACAAATGCCAAAAAAGAGGCATGAAGGTTTGGCTAGTAATTTTCACATACAGTAACCATTTGTGAGAGGCAGTGCATGGGGCAGGCATATCTATCAATCATGTTAAATAAATTTTGCCAAATTAAAAGTGTCAATTTTTTATAACTGTGAGTCTCTGAGCAGAACACAAGAGCTTGAGTCTCTAGTTCAAATCCTACTTGGCCGAAAAGATTTTATGTTCTCCTGACTTTCCAATAATGTACTTAATGCTCACACATCTTGTTTCGGTGAAACATAAATACACTGTTTTGATACAATTCAAGAAGCACTTTTGAGCACGACCACCTCGTGGAGCCTCTGGGCAGCTGGCCAGCTGGCGTGTCTTGCCAAATCTTGCTGCTTCTCTTTATTCAAAACTTCACATTCACGGTAGGTAAGCATTTGCTCTTTAAAAACCATGTATACGAACATTTTAAATAAACCAGAATATTAAAAAACTCCAGATACCTGTGCTTCAAAATAACCAGGAAACAAAGATGGTGGTAAGAAAGCTCTCTTCACTCACCAACTAGTCTAAGAACTGAAAAAATGTCCTATACCCCTAGGCTTTTGGAATTAAAATATAAAGAAAATCATTGGAAGCATCCCTGACTCTAGCTTCTGAGAGGTCTAAAACAAAGAACCCCTACTCTCTCAATTATCCCATTTTCTTTTCCAGTATATTCCTGACAGAGTCCATATTTTCTACCTGGTACACACAAACACCTACAACAGTGAAGATCTCCAGGTAATGGAGGATGGTTTTAGAGACACTTTCAAAGCATTACACTAGAAAGATTGGAACTGGCAGGATTTTAGTCATTCAGGCCCCAACCTGACTGGCCAGGGCATTTGGGCACATTAGCCTAGGAAGGAGGCACCTATAGTAAAGCCCACCTTTTCTCGTTGGTCGAGGATGTGTGACACGGTTGCTGTCATACAGAGCAGTATCTGCAAAATCTTTGGAAGGTACGCACTGATCAGATGACTGATGTTCTTCAATACGATCTCAAGGCTGTTTAAGATACCATGCTGGCGACCCAAAGGAAGAACTTTAGACAAATCCAAATCTTCTACAGCCTGAATGACTGAAGAATGGCACTCTCCTAGTGAAACAAACAATACGGGTAGTAAGGAAAGAGAAGTATTAGCAGGTCAGAGTTGACTTTGAATTTCCCTCAACAACAAAGTGCTTTCTATTTTTTATAATTCCTTATCTTTGACAATACCCTTTCTTCATATATTACCTCCTTTTGATTTCTACCAAGTAGTCAATGATCTGGGCAAGGCAAATTTTCCTCAACCACTTTATAACTGAGCAATCATGAATAATATAGGGTGAGCCACTTGTGACAAATGGAGTCTTTAAATGCAAAATCGATCCTATTTATTCTGTTTTACAAAACATGAGTTACTAATAAGTTTTATTCTACCTGGCATCTTTACACACTTTAATTCTTCTCACTCTTAGTGTTCATGGATCTATGCTGAGGTCAGCAGTTACACACATATACACACACACACAGAGACAGTTTTGCTATGAGCTCCCTGAAGGCTGTGAATTTAATGTTTTATTTCTCCTGTAGCTCCCTGGGGAATAAAGAAAGTAACAGTCTCTTATAAATAGCCATGTGGATTTCAGAATTTACTTAAATGACTTCGGTATTATTATTTCGGCTTAGCAACAAGTCATTAGCTAACTGATTCATAGACCTAAAAAAATCAATCCATAAGATTATGATTTGTAGTTACCCTCCTATAACAGACGTTATTATTTTCCACAAAGGCTGTATTCTTTGAGCACTACTTTCCTTCACTATATGCTATTATGCTAAATGAATTCAACAGTTAGAATCTTTATCATAGGAAACACACAAGACAAATCCAAGACCATGCCACTTGCCTATAGAAAAATGTCCAAGTTTGGTTAAAGCAAAGGAACTGTGGGACTAGAGCTGGGGTTTTGTAGCCCCAAAAATCTGGACCCAGAACCAATTCTACCCCTTTTGCCCAGCTGTGCACCATCACAGCCCACGTGGACTCACTATGAACCCCGAGGACAGAGAAGAGCTGTCCTGAAGGGATTCCTAGGCTGAAATGGAGAGGAAAGCAGATCCTGAGGTTCCTTCTGGGGAGAAACAGATCAGAGCGAACCACCCACCCCTCACTTAGCAGTTCAGCACTTTGAACTGTGCATCACAAGAGGTCCTTTTTTGCTGAGAGGGCAGATTATTTAACCTCTAAAGCTCAGTTTCCCCATCAGTTCAAAGGAGTTAATTAAATCAGGACCTCTCATACAGTTACTTGAGGATCAGCTGAGGTGTATATAAAGGGGTCTGCTACCATCCCCAGTATAAAGGAAGCACTTCAGTAAATGTGAGGTGTCGTAGGGCTGGTTCTGACTCATCATGATTCAATGCATAAGAAAGAAACGCCGTCTGGTCCTGAGCCACCAGCAGGATGGCTGCTATGCTTGAGTTCACTGTTGCAGACACCACAACACTTATCTCATTAAGGCACTTCGGCTTCCTCTTTTTCCTGGGCCCTCTACTTTGCCAAATACAATGTCCTTCTCCAGGACTGATTCCACCAGAAAACAATACAGCAGTACGTAAGAAAAAATCTCATCACACTGCCCTCCAAGGAGCATTCTAGTCCTTCTGCCAAGATAGATTTGGTTCATTCTTCTGGCAGTTCATGATAGTCAATACTCTTCATTGACATCATAATTAAAAAGCATCACGTTTTCCTTACTCATGTTCCAACTTCTGTATGTTGGAAATGCGTATGTTGTTGTTATGTGCCATGGAGTCAACCGCAACTCACAGCGACCCTATGCACAAGAGCACCGAACTTTGTCCGATCTCACTGCCTGTGACACACTTTCACCCCAGTCACTGTCAGTTCACCTCATCCAGAGTCTTTTTCTTCTGTGCTGACCTTCCAACTTTCCAAGCATGATGTCCTTTTCCAAGGACTGGTCCTTCCTGGCCACATGCCCAAAGTACGTGAGATGGAGCTTCAAAATCCTTGCCTCAAGAGAGCAACTTCTTTTCACCCTCTCCAGGACAGACGTGTTTGTTCTTGTGGAAGTCTACAGTAATGTCCGATACTCTTCTCCAGCACCACAATTCAAAGGCATCAATTCTTCTTCTGTCATCCTTATTCACTGTCCAGCTCTTGGATGCACAGCTATTGAAAAAACCATGGCCTAGATCAGGTGCACCTTAGTTTCTAAAACGACATCATTGCTTTTCAGCACTCTGGAGAGGTCCTGACAGTAGACTTTCCTAATCTAACTCGTCTTTTCATTTCCTGGCTGCTAATGCCAGGCATGTATGCGTATGAGGCAATGAAAATGTTATGGTTTGGGTCAGGTGTAACTTAGTCCTCAAAATGAAATCTTTACTTCTTAAAAATCTAAAGAGGTCTTTTTTAGCAGGTTTGCCTCAATGCAATACTTTGATTTCTTGACTACTGCTTCCATTCGTACTGATGGGGCCAAGTGAAATGAATTCTGACAATTTCAACATTTTCTTCATCTAATATGATGTTGCTCATTCCACTTGTGGGGATACAGTCCACACTGAAGTTTGTGGTCTTTAATCTCCATCTTGTCTTTAAGCAACAAGGTTGTGTCACTTGCACATAGCAAACTGCTAAGATATTCCCTTCAATTCTGATGTTATGTTCTACTTTTACAGTTGAGTTTCTTGGATTTTTTACTCAGCACACAAAACGAATAAGTATGTTGAAAGGATACATACTTTTCCTGATTTGAAGCCATGAAGTGTTCTCTAGCTCTGTTTGAATGGTTACCACACGATCTGTACACTGTGCAGCACAGTGTTTGCTGAAGTGTTCTCCACAATTTGTTATGATCCACATTCTCGAATGCCTTTGCAAAGTTAATAAAATACAGGTAAACACCTTTCTAGTATTCTCTGCTTTCAGCAAGATCAATCTGGTATCAGCAATGTTGTTCCATGCTCTGTTTGGAACCTAGCTTGACTTTTTGGCAAATATCTACTGATCTATTACTACAACCATTTTTAAATTCTCTTCAGCAAAATTTCACTTCTATATATTATATATATAGAATAACACTCTGAGAATTTCTATATTTTGGTGGATCATCTACCCTCGGAACGGGCACACATATGGATTTCTTCCATATGTGTGGACTGGCCAGGCCTCCACATTTTGTAGCATAGGTAAGTAAGACTCCAGCACTCCATTTGTTTGATGAAACATTTCAGCTCGAGTCCTATCAATTCCTGGAGCTTCGCTTTTCCTCATGCCTTCAGTGCAGCTTAGACTTTTCCCCCTTTAGTATTATGGGTTTTTAATCATATGCTATCTTATGAAATGGCTGAATGTCAACCACTTCTTTTCGGTATAATGATCATGTGTGCTGCTGCAATCTTCTTTTTAAAATTCTTTCTACTAATTTTATCTCACAAATAATTTTAGTCACAGCTTTATGGGTTCATGCTAACTTACAGAATTTTAATTAGGTCATCAGTGTTGCAAAATGACCTCATGCCATCTCTGACATCATTTCCATCACCCAAATCATATTTTCCTGTCACTGCTCTGTTTCCAACTTTCATGTTCCAATTACCAGTAATTATCAAGGGATACTGAGTGTATGTTTGATCAATTTCAGACTGCAGAAGTGGGTAAAAATCTTTAGTCTCTTCATATTTGACTTATAAGCCGGTGTGCAAATCTGTAATAACTGGTCTTTCTTTTGGTTGTTGTGTACTGTTGAGTCATGATCAACTCATGGCTGACCCTTCAGCAGGCTGTCAGAGGCAGTAAACCTCACAGGAGCTGACTGCCCATCTTTCTCCTGTGGGGCAGCTGGCAGTTTCAAAATGTTGTACCTTTGAGCTACTGGTGCAATTCCTTACCACTATGCCACCAGAGTTCCCTAGATCTTCCTTATAAGTGTGTGGATATTCTTTCACTGAGAGTGTACTACTTCAGGATAAAATGTAAATGTTGCTTTTTCTATTGAACGTGAAGCTGTTCCACTTCAATGTGTCATTCCTGGCATAGCAGACGATGGTAAGACTGCTGGATTCAAAACGGCCACCACCACTCCATTTTAATTACTGTACAGGATATCCACCTTCAAGTGTGATTCAATTCATTTTACATAACTTCCTATTTTTCTAGATTCATACTGATGACTAGTGATTATTTGCAGCTATTTATTTTCATTTTGCATCCTGTCACATCAGCAAACGAAGGCCCTGAAAGTCTGACTCTAGTGACAATTGTTAAGGTTGATGCTCTTTGCAGGAGCAGCTCCTCCCTGGTCACATTCTGAGTGCTTTGAAGCCTCAGTGGTTCATCAGCTGCTGGTACTGTCACAGACAACAGTTCAGGACCATTTGTCAGGTTTTCCTTCTCAGTCTGTCTTAGTCCAGAAGTTCCACTGACACTTGTCTACTGCTGTGAGTTGACATACCAGCTCTTAGAATCCCAGCAACATGAAAGCCATCACAACCCAACATACTGACAGACAAGTGGTGGCCAAACCGTTAACCATTCTTACTGACAGTAATTATAAAAATCATGTAACATAGAGCAGGACAGCTCATTGTACACACTCTTACATCCACAAGGAGACTCCAATTTCTTGACAGAGAGTATAATTACTAATTTTTCTATTTTCAAGTTGCCAGAGTATCCAAGGCATTGGGCAAGTCATTACTCAATAAATGAATGATTCAATAAATGAAAACAACAACACCAAAATCCATTTTGTAGCTTGCTAAACATCTCTTAGAAGACTTTTTCTTTGTATACAGATAAGTTTTCATTTTCCTAAAGGCCTAAAAGCACAAAAAAGGTATACATTTTCTAGAGGTTTGCTAATGCATGGACACTGACATTTCCCAGATCATTTTCAAGGTTTACCTAATTCCAACCATAATCTCAAAATGAATTGCATTAAAAAAGACAGGATTGTGAAGACCAGCTTGGTTAGAATGATGTCCAGGAGCGTGAGGAACAAAGTCTGGTATGTCTGACCTATGTGAAAGAAGACACATTGAGGCAGGAGTGGGAGCTGATAGTTACCATTCTTGAAGTGCTTCACAGGTTCAAACAGGAGGTCCAAGAATATCTGGATCTCCTCGGGCTGGGTCCCAGCGAGGAACCGGAGGACAATGGACATGCGTGTGCCGGATGCAGATTTCCCCTGAGTTTTAGTCCCAGTCTTGTTCTTCATTCGCCCATACAAAATTCTAAAATGTCAGAAAAACATTACTGGTTCACACACAAACGATACAAGTTCTTTGTTTTGTATAAAGAATAATGATAAAACAGATATAAATGGACTTATTACAAAATAAGGAATGAAAACAAAAACTAGACCTTTAAGTTAGGGAATCAGAAAAGCAACAATTGAAAAGGGTAAGGAAAGCAGAAGAAAGAAAATCATAAAGACAAAACCCAGAAATCAATATGCAATGGAACTGATACAGCCATAGTATGGTTCTTTGTGTGTGAGAAAATAAAAAATAGAATGAACTGGTCAAAGATAAGCTTAATCAATGAAAAAAGAAAACAGGAGCAAAAAGATTAAAAAGTGAGATTAGAAAGCCAGGCAGCAGAAAAAAGGAGAGAGAATAGAAGATTCTAATTAAATAAGAGCATTTTCTAAAACAAATTTAAATTAGCAAATAGAACTTAAGTGCAACATATCAGTAACAAAAATAATGTTACATACTAGCATTTCTAAACCTACTATCTAGCATTGTATTGAAACAATATTAAACCAAATAGTGATTATCTAAGGAATGCAAAAATGCCTTCATTAGTAAAATCTATTAAAGAAATATAAATCAATGTCCCTACAAAAAGGACATTATCATTTCAATAAATGTTTAGTAGGCAGTTTTGTAAAGTTCAACATCCATTCTAGACAAAAATTCTAAATAACCTAGTAATCCAATATACTCTCTTAACATGGCACATGCTAATTTAGCATTTAAAAGACAAAGACAGGGATTTTCAAAAGTTTTTGCACTCTTTTGTATACTCAGGAAATATAATATTTGGATAATGTGTGGACCACTTGTGTGTTCCACCATTTACAATGACAACAGTAACATTAACTACTTCACTATATTTAGAAACTAGAATAAGTTACTTTCATTATTACTGTTATTAAAACATTATCAATAATACTTTCATTAAAATAATATTGATAAAACACAAGGGAAAGATGTTTTATCTGTAACATGGACAAAAATTCTAAGCTAACCCTAATAATTTTACTTCAACAAGAGGTCTAATAAAAAAAAATAAAAACAGAAATATTTGGAAAGATTTCTACTTCTATATTCATACTATTTTTTAACCAATTAATTTCAAAATCAGTAAACTACCTCATCAGAACAGGAAACAGGTCTGCCCGGTGCTCTGCTTTCACCACCGTGTTCTCTTCTGAAATGCTAAAGTGCACAATTTCTTCCTTAAAGCTTCTGTCTTCAAGCAACCTTTCCAAGTTTTCCCTTTAAGAATGGACGACAGCATAAATGCTCATTTATTTATCAACTGTGCTTTTAAAAAAACTAAGAGTAAAATAGCAGGTTTAAAAAAAATAAGATCTTAAAAATTCATTCCTTTAATAGTTGACATCAATGAAGAACGTCAACCACTTGATAGATTTTCAAATTTTACAATATAAAAGAGATTAAGAGGGACTAAGTTTTGTTCCTAATTGACGTTATGTTGGGTTTTTTAAAATTATCACGCAACAGCTTTCTTCAGTTCTTAGCGATGGCTCCCTGAGCAACTGTCATAACTCTGTGGCAGTGGATTAGAGGGAGAATACAACCATCTAACTTTTTCAACACATTATTTTTCTCTAACAGTTTCTTTCCTACCTTACTATCTATGGAAAAAGGAGCCCTGGTGGCACAGTCTGTAACAAGTTGTGTTGTTAACTCAAAGATCGTTAGTTGTGTTGTTAACTCAAAGATCATATTTCTCGTGGTTGGAATTCACCAGCCACTCGTCCTGTGGGAGGCAATGGACAACCTTCCTATTTAGTACCTACAGCTATGGAAATGTGACAGAGTCGCTATGAGCTGGAATCTCCACGACAAAAATGAGTTTTAATTTATGGTAAACTACTTCTAGCAAACAAATACACTTTTAGCTTTCAATTCTTGCCTAGAAATAGCATTAGGGTAATTTAGGGAAAGAAATAAGCTTCTTAGGCCTTCAAAAAAATTTTTTTAGATAGGGCTCTTTTGGAGAAAGATAAAAATTAGTCAAAGGACTAAAATGTCTTCAAGCATTAAGTCACTTACCTGTAAGGGAGTATATGTGGATGCTTATACGTCATTATACAATCCAGACTTATTTTCTGTACTGTTTGATCCTGGTGTAGCAACAACTAAGAAAGATAGTTATAGAAAAATCAATGCAGTCATACACATACACACATAATAACATGGGACAACAGTTTATTTTTGTTCATTTGCTAGATTTTGGTGTGTTGTGTGCCATCACCAACCCACAGCTGAAGCTCCAGCGGGTTTTTAGAGGCAGTGGATTAACCATATGGGAGGAGACGACCCATCTGTCTCCTGAGGAGTAGCGGGTGGATATGAACTGCCTGCCTTTGGGACTGCAGTGCAGCTTCTTAACTCTAGATCTCCCTAGATTAGCTTTCCTCAAATTTAAATTTTTAGATAAGCTTAAAGCTGATACCTGACAAACTTCCACTTTCCTGGAGGAAACAGAGCATGAACTGAAAACATGCAAAGGAAAATACGAAAGTAAAACCCAGTTGCCTGACTCCCATTATGACAGAGCCTCAGGCCCTATCAGTCTTTTGACCATGGCAAATTCTCCACATGAATCTGCTTTTAAACTTAGTGGGCAAGTCACATGATCAGCAACATCGTTTACAATACTGAGATAGTAACAAGTAGCCACTAAGACGCTAGAACAGAAGATCTGGCTTGAAAGCCCCCCTTGGGAGGCGGTTCTGGAGCTCACTTCCTGTGGAGAGCTGAGACCACAGACAAATTCTGCTGAAAAGAAAGAAGTTTAATCTTCAGATCATTTCACAAGAAATGATCATTTAATTCCTCAAAGTGATTTTGAAGGATAGCCGATGCTCACTGAGTTACTAACATTAAATTCTTTCTGCAGTTGTCTGGAATTCCCAGTTATCCACTGTCACTGGCATAGACTATCATTCCAACTTTCTGATTTCCACTCAGTCTAACAGATCCTGGAATCCTACCTCTCATATTTATTTTGGCACAAAAAGAAGTCCCTGTTAGTGTTGGGATTATAAAAGATAGAAAGGTGGGCAACTCTATAACATAAAACAACTGAAGCGAGCACAGAGCTAACAGCAGTTAGGACCCTGACCTCACTGTCCCAGCAGTGGTACTGCCTTCCCTACGGACCAGGCGCTGGTATGACTGTGAGCTCATTACATGCCATATAACAGGAAGCACTGAGTTGTCAACATAAAGCTGAGCTGTTCAAGTTCCTCTGACTTGTAACACTTGCAAGGCTTTGTGTATATTTTAATTCATGCAAGTATTAAAATATATCTCTATGTTTATATGTAATGTATATAACTCAGAGATACACAAAGATTAGATTTACCAAAACACTGATAATAAAAGGCAATAAAAATAAAAAGACAAATAAACAAAAGATCTCTGATTAACACCAGTGTGACTTATGATGGAGCGGCTGGTATAGAACTGGGTTCTGGTCAGGGGACTAACCACAGTAATTATGAGTTGGGATATACTCAAGAGCAATGGGATGCTTGCTTTCAATACAGCTAACTAATGTTGCACTAGGAAAGTCTGCAGTCAGGGACTTCTCCAAATTACTGAGGAGCAATGATGTTAGCTTGAGGACTAAAGTGCGCCTGATTCAGAACATGGTCTTTTAAATTACTTGTGATGCATCTAAGAGCTGGACAATGAAAAAGGACGACAGAAGAAGAAATGATGGCCTTTGAACTGTGGTGCTGGAGAAAAGTACTGAATATCCCCATAGGCTGCCAAATGAACAAACAAGTATGTCTTAGAGAAGGCGCAGCCAGAGTGCTCCTTGGAGGCAAGATGATAAAGCTTCATCTGACATACTTTGGGCGTGTTGCCAGAAGAGGTTATGCTTTGGAGAGGAACATTATGCCTGGAAAAGCGGAAAGACAATGAAAGAGAGTAAGACCCTCAACCAAGTGGACTGACACAGAGTCTGTGAGGACGGCACAGGAAAGGACAGGATTCACATTTGTTGTTCACATCGCTATGAGGTGTACTCGACTTGATGGTGCCTCATCACAACAACGACAACAACAACAACAACAACTAATGCTGAGTAAACCTAAACATCTCCACTCAACTAACTTAGTGCTCCCTAAAACAGTTGTTGTTGCTTTTTTAAAATCTTCCCTAAAATTATAATGAAAATTAACAGGAAGCAGGTCTATTAATAAAGATTGTTAGCAATTAAAATGTAGCACCTAAAATATTTTACTTACCTGAAGATACAGCTCATATAATTTTGATTCCAGATATAAGGCCCGTGGATTTGAAAACTTAGCGAAAACTTGTAAATGAGCAATTAACTGCCTAAAACAAAAACAAATAAGAAAGGTTTAATCGAATTAAACAGAGATTATTTTCTCAATGTAGTATTATCCACTAATTTTATTCTTTCTGGCGCTTCATGGTTAACTAGCTAAAGAAAGAAATTATTTGCCTTTAGAGAAGCATTCTCCAGAAATGACAAATGCTAGCTGGCCTCTCCCTGAGTCCTGGATTCCCTATTTCTATAAAAGTCATTCAGGCTGTGCTTCATGTGATCTAAATGAAAGCAAAAGTAGAAAATCATGAAAAACAGCAATATATTCAAAGAAGATGAACACTGATAACTTTGGAAATGATTCCTGGTCTGGACTGGTTGAGGTCCATCATAAATGAATGCCTTGGCCTGGACTTTCACAGCTCAAACACAAATGTTGGTCAAATGGTGGTCCACATTTGGGTAACCGCGGATTTTGCTTACATGGAGGAGGAATAAAGTGCTATAATAAAGGAATAAAGCTGTAAAGGTTGAGTGTGAAGATGGGAATGAATGGCTCAGGGAGAAGTCACAGGCCAAGGAGAGCGCTTCCGCAGCATCTCCTCATCTGACTTCAGAATCCACACACTTTGTGAGGCTTAAAAACACTGGGAAAATGTTTGCCTTTGGTGTTTATTACTTTATCTGTCAGATGTATCAGAACACTTAAAAACTCTTTTTTCCCCTATTTCTTTTTTAAATTTTAACAGATTTCAATGAAAGTTTATAGAGACCTTGGATTTCCAATCATTCATTGTTGCACATTTTCTTCCCTACCCAACTCTCTAGTTCGCTTTTCTCTTCGAAAAAAAATTCTTTCATTGTGCACCCCTCCGCAAGTCCACTTTACTATACAGCTCTTATTCTGGACTGTGCCATGCAAATAATACCTAATCATATATTCCTTTTAAACAGTTCTCTCCCTCTTCTGTTTCAATGCAGTGTACATTATTTATCCCCTCTCTTCTCAGTTTCCCTCCAACACCTACAGTCCTGTTTTATAACAATGACACAATGCAGTATTTGTCCTTTTCTGACTGAGATATTTCACTCAGCATACTGTCCTCCAGGGTCACCCATTTTGTATAATATTTCATGAGTTCCTTGTTTTTCAATGCAGCATAGTATTCCATTGTGTGAATATACCACAGCTTCTCTGTTCATTTGTTTGTTGATGGGCACCTGGGTTGTTTCTAGCTCTTTGCTATCGTGAACAACACAGGAATAACAGGTCTGTTTGGGTGGTAATTCTGATTTCTTTGGGGTATATTCCCAGTAATGCAACTGCTGGTTCAAATAGTATTTGTATTTCTAACTTTTTGAGAAAGCGTCATACTGCCTTCCATAGTGGCTGCACCATTTTACACTCCCACCAACAGTCAATAAGGGTTCCAGTTTCTCTACAACTGCGCCAACATTTGTTGTTTGCTGCTCTATTGAATTTTGCTATTGTTACTGGGGTGAGATAACAGATTAACTGCTCATATCCAAAGATTTTTTTACTTGCCTGTTTCAAGGAAGAAGGAAGGGAGAGACAAAAAACGAAGCAGAGAACAGCCTGTATGGTTCGAGTGTCTCTCAGCTGTGAAATTTGGGAGAAAGTCCCTCAATCAATGCCCCAAAGTTCTGTTTTCTCATTCTGCTAAGGATGAGACAGACCCTGACTGTGAGGGTTAAGAGAAAGAATTCAAATGTGGTATCTCTGCTTCTAACATCACAGAGAAAATAACTGGGAAATTATCATCTTGTCAGATGCTACAGAGAAAGCAAGGTGAAGAAAGCAATATTTTAAATATTTTGCTAAAAATAGCTCCCTAAGAACTCATTATTATTGAACACTGCAGCTTTACCAATAAATGTTTTAAATGTCCTAATGAAATATCCACTCCTTCCCTTTAGAGTAATTACATATCTTTTATGTGGATATTTAATTTTTCATTTTCAACGGGATTACACTACATACAGAGAAAACAAAAATGTTTACATCTGGACTAATAAACAACATTATAAACAGTGAAAATACTGATGTTTGTCCTTTCCTTAAGATTACATGCAAGTAACAATCAAAAATATACATGAAATACTGAAAAAACTTGTGCAAAGAAGAGTTAAACAGTAAAGATGTTAACTGCCATTTAAACAACAAAGATGTTCCTATTTAAAGTGCTAAGCAGCAGAAATGTCACTTTGAGGACCAAGGTGTGTCTGATTAATTTCAACTGCAAATGCTTGTGTTATCACAGTTAACCTTAAGGAGAATGGAAATTCCAGAACTCTTGATTGTGCTAACTTGTAACCTATACTTGGACCAGGAGGCAGTCACTAGAACAGATTGAGGAAACACGGCACAGTTTAAAATCAGGAAGCAAGTGTGTCAGGGATGCGTCTTGTCTCCATATAGGCAGAACAGATCATTCAGGAGGCTGGACTTTTAGAGGAAGAGTGTGGCATCAAAATTGGAGGAAGACTCATCAACTACATGTGTTAGGCAAATGACACAACCTTGGCCTGCTGAAACTGAGGAGGTCCTGAAGCATTTGCTTCAAAAAGTCAAAGACTATAGTCTTCAATATGGATTGAAGCTCAACATCAAGAAGACAAAGATTCTCACTACTGGGCCATTTGGCAGCACCATGATGGATGGAGGAGAAACTGAGGTTGTTAACAATTTCAGCTTGCTCGGCTCCATAAACAACACTCTTGGCACCAGCAGCCAGGACATTAAAAGACACATTTTACTGGGGAAGTCTGAGGGAACTTTCCAAATTCCTAAAGAACAATGATGTCAGTCTAGAGACTAAGGTGCACCTGATACAGACCGTGGTCTTTGCAATTACTTGCTATGCATCAGAGAGCTGGGCAATCAATCACTAAGGATTTCAGAAGAAGGAATGAGGCTTTGGAGTTGTGGGGATGGAGAAGAGTCTTGAACACACCATGGACTGCCAGGAGAGCAAATAGGTTTGTCTTGGTGAGGGTGAAACCAAGTTTCTCCTTGGAGGCAAGGACTTTGAAGCTCCATCTCATATATTTTGGGCACGTGGCCAGGAGGGACCAGTGCCTGAAGAAGGACATCATTCTTGGAAGGGTGAAGGGACAGCACAGGAAAGGAAGACCCCAGATAAGATGGAATAACATAATAACTGGGCCAATGAGGTGAGGTGTGTTGGAGACAGTGAGACTGGCTCAGGATAAGGCATGTTCAGAGCTACTGTACATAGCGTCGCTATGAGTTGTGGATGACACGATGGTACATATCAACAACCACCACCTGCATATGAAAGCTGGACAATGACTAAAGGAGACTAAGGAAAAACTAGGGAGCTCTGGTGGCTTAGTGGTAGAGTTGTCCTGTGAACCAAAAGGCCTTAGGTTCAAATCCACCAGCAGCTCAACAGGAGAAAGATGGGCAATCTCCTCCTGTGTAATTATATAGCCTCTGAAAAATCTGAAGAGTCAAGAAGGAGTCAACTTTGACTGCATGGTACACAGCAATGACAACAAGAAAGAAGAGTTAATGCCTTTGAATTAAGGCACTGGCAAAGAAACTGCAGATATGATGGGCTGCCAGACGAACCTTAGAGGTAAGGATGGCGAGAACTCTCTTACGGTGGGCACATTCTCAGGAATCAGTCCCTGGACAAAGACATCAGCTTGGTAAAGACTCAGTACAAAACAGGAAGTCTTGTGAGGAGACCGACTGACCAGTGTCTGCAACAATGAGTTCCAGCACCACAGTGATGGTGAGGACGGTACAGCGTTTTGTTCTGGGGCACACGGGGCTCCGGTGAGTCAGATGTAATTCAAAGTAAGAAGCCTTGGTGGAACAATGGTTAAGCACTTAGCTTCTGGCCAAGACGCTGCCAGCTGGAACTCACTAGGCTCTTCATAGTAGAAAGATGTAACACTCTGTTTCCAAAAAGATTTACAGCCTTGAAAATCCACAGGGTAGCTCTATCGTGCTCCACAGGGTTCCCCTGAGTTATCATCAACTCTAGGGCAGGAGGTTTGGGTTTGGACGTGCTGCTAACTCTTGGAACCCACAGCTGTCCCTCCACTGAGTGTCTGAAGGTGTGAACTGCAGGGAAGGGGACTGCTCTTTCTATCTCAGAGCATTTGGTGGATTCTATCCGCCTGAGAGGCAAGATCTTGGGGTTCACAGCACAACTCCCTACAGACTAAACCATCAGGTTTGGCTACAGCAGCAGGGAAATTGAGATATGATCTTATATTTTCAAGAGTTTCTGATTTACACGGGAGATAACAAACATACCAAATACCTCTGACATCCAAGGCCAAGAATGGGACCGGGACAGATAAGACTATATTATAAAAGTTTGAAATGAGGACAGATAACCTGAAAGAAGAGAAATGCTTCAGCAAAGAGGCAGCCCCGGGACTGTGTCTCAAAGTGTGAACCGAATTTCAGTAGTAGGGATGAGGTCAGGGCACTGGGGGAAGGAGGGGCACGAGCAAGGTCCAGAGACGGGACACTAGGAGGCTAAATGGACAAATGGCTGATTCATTTATTTGCCAAACATGTACTGAGGACTAATCTTTGGCAGGCGTTTTACTGGAAGGAATAACGAAGAAAAGAGCAACCTTTGTCTTACAGGAAGTAAAATAAGGCAGGACGCTAACAGCTGGGAGAAAGTGGAGGCAGAAAAGGAGCTCCAGTTCTACGGTACTGGCCCCTGTTCTTCCTTCACCATTTCCATTAGCTAGCAGTCCCTCTCTTCTCAAATGCCTAGCAAAAAGCCATTCTTCAGCTTCCAAGGTACCTTCTCTGCACCTCTTCCCTGAATCTTTTCAGTAGATTTAAGCCATTTTCCTCCTGTGCTGTTGTATGCCACTGATTTGGAACAGACTCACAGCTGACCCTCCAGTGGGTTTTCAGAGGCTGTAAACTGCCTGGGAGGAAGACTGCCGATTTTTCTCACGTGGAGCAGCTGGTGGATTTGAGCAGTGTGCCTTTTGGTTGGCAGCGTATCTCCTTACCACTAGGCTACGAGAGCTTCCTCCTATGCTCCCTTTAGGGTTGTTAGTTGATACTGAGCTGGTTCTAACTCAAGGCAACTCTGATTATAATAGAAGAAAATGCTATAGTCCTGTGCCATCTGCACAGCTTCTTCTTTCAACTACTCCAGCATCCCTGTGGCCCTGTGACTTCCCTACAAATACCTCTCATGGCACTATATACACAGACTATGACTGTGCGACCAAACACTGTTGTACAAGTCATCTCTTTATCCTTAGGACCTAGTATAGAAGCACTCAAGAGTCACTGAATGAATGAATGAAAACTCATGGGAAATACTCTAGAAATAGGTCAACCAAATAGAGATCCAAAGTGTTAAAATAACAGTGTCATCAATCTCTGGGTCTTTCAGACCTCAATACAGACAGTCAGCAAATAAAGTAATTTTTGAAAGTATGATCCCTTCTTTTGCGGTTTCCAACACTTCAGGCAAATGAATAACCTGGAGAATAAGAAAGAAGCTGTAACATCGGCGGCAAAAAAGTAACCAGAAGGAGACAAGTCAGAAGTCAGAAGTGCTGACAGGCTCATTTATAAGCAAAAAAAAGTTCCATTACGTGTTACCGGGCACACAAATAGAACATGCCAGTGCTACGGGAGCTGACCACAAAGGTCACAAAGGCCATTTATGCATGCCAGGCTCCCAAAGTCGTTGTAATGCTAACACTCTGTGGCTGATCAAGGGAAAAAAGTGCAAATAACAAGCAATCCACAAGAAAACCTCTGAAGATCACATTTTCTGTGCAGTCAGAAAAAATGCCAAGAGATGTAACGACGTTTCAATAATTGTCCAAGCCCTTCAGCAAGTGTATTTCACATTCAGGCCACCAGACATCGCCTATGGCCCTCCTGGAACTCCACACCCACAGATGTGGAGCAAAGTTGAACTTACTTCGCGGCAGCTCTTCTTGTCTTTTTCTTCTGGGTGGGTTCATCTTGGGGCACCTCCTCTTCTTCCAACTCCTCATCATCTCTGGCAGCTGGTTCCTCTTCCATCTCCTCTGCTACCCCTCTTCTGCCTTTTTTTTGCAGATCTTGGGTTGGAGCAACTTGAAGATCTGCTGGGTAATACTCATTGCTGCAGTGGAAGAGTGTCAAATGAGAGAGAAAGAATGATAATCTGAAATACCCTCATTCTATTTATGAGCTAGATAGATACTCATGGCTCAGAGAGTCATAGTGAAGAGACATCAGAGGCACTGGAGTCAAGTTCCTGACATGACACTATTCTTTTTTTTAATGGGTCCTTCTTACATAGCCTATATGACAAACTTACTCACCAAACTGCAGAAGACCTTCCATCCCAGGTTTTAAACTACTGAAAATGTTTGAAATGTCTATTTTGAACTGAGCTGAAATGAGCTCCTTATCTCTCAAGCCACATGGGGGTGGACTGTATGAAAGCAGGCAGTCCCTGGGTTACAAACAACAACTAAGCTCTACTGACAAGAGCTTTTTTCATCACAATCACCTTCACTTGCTGCATGTGCGACTTTTAAATCACTGACGAGGCTCCAAGTCTTTCCCTGGACTAACTCACTCACTGCCACAGAACAGGCACAGGCTCACAGCTGACCCATCACTGGGCTCCGGAGGCTGTAAATCGCGCTGGAGGGGACTGCCTCTTTTCCTCCCCGGGAGGTGCTGGCAGAGAGGACTGCCAGACCCCTGTGGCCTTCAGGGCCGGCAGGGCAACTCCCTGCAGTCTACCCCACAAACAGGAACCACATGCACCTCCTCTAACCCACGTACAAACTCCATGGAAAGATTTAAAGACAGCTGGGAACAGAGCTGGTTTGGAACTGGGGGACTCTGTACATAGTATTAGGAGGATGCTGGTCAGTTTCCACTGACACTTCCATGAATACCCAGCATGCAGTGAACACTCATTAAGGGTCACTACTGTTGGGATATTGTTGCCACTGTTCATTTTTCAGCTCTGCCCATGGTCTGGCTCCTCTGAAAGAAGTCAAATAAGGGATCTCAAAGTGAATTCTAATATTAAATTAATTAAAATAGATTTAGAAATATGCATTTCTATCTCTAGTGGTCTACTGATAAGAAGCAGTGCTGCAATCCCAAAGGCACAGAGTTCAAATCCACAAGTTACTCTGTCTCCTCCCATACGATTCACTGCCTCTGAAAACCTGCTGGAGGGTCAGCTAAGGTTCAGTTCTGACACAAGAGAAGCGCTCCCAAAATCTCAGATTGTATTTCAAAGCCATAACTGCAGGTAACATGTGAGGTTCTGATTTGTCTGGATCAACTGTAATAGCACTGGTTATAATCTCACTCATTGACGTGTGGTTTGAATCGACTCATCTTATTTGCTCTTCAAACAAGGCAGGGAAACCAATCTCCCAACCACTAGTCTCATTTTGCAAATAAATTTTAGACCAATGAAAATGGAAAAAGAGGAAAATGATGACTCTCCTTTACTGCCCCACAGTCTCCTGAACCACTAACTTCCCCGTCTTCTGGGTCACTGCTATCTGCATGACACCCACGCCTGCTGCTTAAATCTTAAAACCGCGACAACAGCTCCCACTCTGCCCTTCTGCTCACGAACTCTTCTCCCGTTTCTTTCGTACAAGCAAGCACTAACCGTACTTGGTGTTTCTATTTATTACTCTTCAATTCTAATCGGGATTTCACCCCTACCAGGTTAATGAAAAGAACATTTATTAAAGTCACATCCACCTGCTCAATGCCAACAGTCCTTACTCATTATCCTACGCGACTCCTCAGATATATCTGATTACTCCACCAGGAGACATTACCTTCCCGTAGCTTCTAGGACTAGCAGCCTTGGCTCTCATTCGATCACTCTGCTCAGTGCTTGCTGGCCCTGTTTCCTGGTTGCTCTTTATCTCCCAAACAAATCCTGGGTCAATCCTTAGAGGTTCCCTCTTTCCACTCAGATCCCAGTGATTTCCTTCTTGTTTCATATTAAATACTATCTTCATTATGCTGATGAGCTCCAGATTTACTCTCTCCAGACCAAACCTTTTCCATGAACTCTTAATTCTTAAAGCCAACTGCCTACTTGATATGACTGACTAGCTGTCAGTATTCCTAACTTAATATGGCCAAAAAACCCCCAAAACAAAACAAAACAAAACAAAAAACAACCCTTTTGATCTTCACTCATAAACATGTAACTTCTGTATCCCACACTATCTCAATAAGTGGTAATGTTCTGCTTCCAACTGCTTAGGTCAAAACTGTGGAAACAGTTTCAATTCCCACTGCCACACATCTACACCAACTCACCCCACATCTGACCTATGAGCAAAATCCTGCAAGAAATTGATCCAACTGAAATCCTTCAAAACATATTCAGAATTCCACCACTCCTCCTCATCCTCACCACCAGAGTCGTGGTCCAGCCACCACGATCATTTCTCACCTTTCCTTTCACACCCTCTTCCTAAGTAGTCTCGTGCTTCTTCTGCCACCACCATCCATTAGCCTGTTCTCAACTCAGTAACGGCAAAAAATCCTTCTGAAGACCTAGTACTGTTGGAGGTGCAACATTTTTGAGTCACAGTGATTCTGTAGGGGCAGAACTGCCTCGTACGGCTTTCCAACTTACGGTCTTTATAAGAACAGACCACCAGGACTTTCTCCTGAGGAGCAATAGGGTGGATTCAAACTGGCAACCTTTTGGTAGACAGCTGAGAAATTAACTGTTGGGTTATCAGTGCTCCTTTCCGAAAACATAAGCTATTTCATCCTTGTATTTAAAACTCTGCAACAGTTTTCCATCTTTTTTTTTTTCTCCTATTTCCACTGTCTTTATTTATCACATATGGCAGATTTCAGGGATACCAAACAAGGCATTGATTGGTTTGTAGCAGAACTGTTGTCACGTGAAAAGTTTTGTGGCAAAACTGCTGTCACCTACTTCATTGGGTTTCTTCCCAGGGATTCAATCCTAAATCATAATCCTTTAATAAAGAATGTGCTCTACTGATAAAAGTATCTTCTTAAAGAAGCACAGCTCCAGCAATAAGCTGGCTATCTTCAGACAGGAAATGCTGAGCCATCCCAGGTCCTCAGACTCCTGGTTCCAATAACTCCATCATGACTTCACCAAAAAGATCCTTAATCTTCAAGCATCCTTCAACATCTAGGCTTCAGGAAGCAGGCCAATTTGGGAAATGGCAGATGCATTAAGAACTGTCTTTTCCTGAAATGTTGCGGATCGGTTACAGCAAACTGAACAGCGACCGTCAAGGAAAATTGTCACTCTGGGCTCTTTTTTGACCCCAGCAGCTATGAGGAAGCAGCCGAAGCTTCGATGAGAGCCAAACAGCTTTCCATCTTAATGAAAACAAATAGCCTTACTAATATTTAAAGTCTTTCATAGTTTGATCCCCTCTTTCTTTCTGGCCTTATCTTCAATTATTTTCTCCCTAGACTGCTCTTCTAATACAAAAGTTACAAGCAAAGGTGCTGGCAGAGCAGAAGATATGGTGAATAAAGATTTTCTCTTTTCCCCCACAGTCTCTGGGCTAAAGACAGCTCTGCTATAGCTACTCAGATCTCCTTGCTGTTCCTTGAACAAGTCAGGCATGCTGTGGTTTGTAACCTGCTAACTTTAAGGTCACAGCATTTTCCCATGTGAACATACAGTTTGTGAACTCATACTTTTAACTGTCTGCTTATTATTTTTCATCTTGTTTTACAGCAACCAGACTCTCACAAAACACATCCAGTCAGAACAAAACAATGCTCCAGAAAACCTGTGCTATTCTTTCAGCGTGCTTTCCTCAACAGCATGGAAAATATCAAGAGGCTCAAAACAAGAGTGGAATGTGCCCCGCTGAAGCAGAGAAGAAGGCCTCTGGGGCTGGAGCTGGGTAACTAGGAAAGGTCCTTGAGCTCCCCAGGCAGTCAAGAAAACAATGAACAACAGGGCAAGACATAATAAGGCCTTTGTACACAGATGTAATTCAATATGGCCTTTCTTATTTCTTCACCTGGAATTTTTTATTAACAATATTTATGGGTGGTTAAATTTGATTTCATATAAAATTAAATGGGGAACAAAATTAGTTTAGTTTTGATCAGAGTGAGCCATGGTATTACTGATGTCCTAGTCATTTCAAAAATGTGATAGATATAAGAACTCGGCCAGTTTGGAAGGTTACATAGTTTTTATCTTCTCCTCTTCACTCACATCAAGGGCACACAGTCCTAAGAGAGAGAATACTTACTTGATAAATCTCAAGAAGAGTGGGGACAGTTCCCTGGAGCGTGGCTCTACTCTGTCTGGGAATTTTGCCAGAGCTCGCCAGAGTAAAAAGCGGAAGTTGGTATGGTCCAGCCTCTCCCGACAGTCTGTTTTCAACGCCAGCTGCTTGTGATAAAGAGCACCGACGTCTCCTTCCTGGGTCTGCTCCCAGCTCTCATCCCCGATGGACTGCTCTGCATCTGTGTCATCACGCTGCAGCTCTTTCTCTGCAAAATGAAAGGCAATCTCCGTAGTGGATAAATGTCACGTGTCCTTCAGGTCCCCTTAAAAGACAGCATTTCTTTCCCAAGTACTCTAAGAAAACAATTAATAAACCAAATCTCAAAGTTTTCCAAGACCTCATTTCTGTTTCCCAATTTCATATATAATTAAGCAGTAAAAATGACAGCCACCTTTTTTCCCAGTCCCCCAGAGTGCCCTTACATACCAGCATGTGTAGCTGCTCTCTCTAGATGTTCATAACAGACTGTCCAAAATTGCTTATTTTCCATTCCATGTGCATGAGAACTAAGAGAAAAAAAAATCACATATACACACATAATGTATGTCATCTTTATTTTGTGATTTTATATGAAAAACAACTTAAAAGGGAAAATTAAAATGTTAATCAGGTTATTCTAGAATATTGGATTGTACATAATCAAATGTCACAGACTGAGTACAAATTATAGTTAATAAGGATTAAGGGAAATTGTAAAAAATGTAAATAGATTTTTATAAGCAGACTATCTTTAATAGCCCAAACCAGGAATGACACTAGACGTACGAGGTAGGTCTGGGATAAAGAGGTCAGTCCCATTCAGGGCAGAGTACTTAGTTCTTTCAAATTAATGTGGTTGTTACTACTGTCAGGTACTGACAAGACAGCTCTGACTCAACAACTTTATGTACAAGAGAATGAAACACTGCTTGATCTAAAAATGTTGATTTTTCATCCACAAATGCAAACACTTACCAGTAACCCATAACACTTATCATTAGACTGAAGAATTAGTGTCTTTGAGCTGTGGGGCTGAGGAATATTTACTTTACCACTGAACGCTAAAAGAACAAACATATCTTGTAAGACTCGCTGCCAGAATTTTCCTTAGAAGCAATGATGGTTTCATATAATTTGGGCCTAAGACCAAGAGGTGTCAATCTCTAGAGGAAGACATCATGCTTGGTAAAACAGATGGTTAGAAAAAAATCCCGAAAAGCTAAGGCCCCTCAATGAGAGGACAAACACAATGGCTGCAAGGAGGAGCTCCAACAGTGGCCAGCGTGAGGACGGCACGAGTCCAAGCAGAGCTTAGTTCTGTTGTGCATCAGGTTGTTAATCAGAACTAACTAGGTGGTTCCTAACAGCAGCCACAACCACAAGAAACAAGCCTTTTAACAATAGGGGAGAAAAGAGAGGAGAAACAAGATGAACTCTAGAAAATACATTATTTGATATCTCAGTACTAATTCTGATCTTCTTTATAATTAATTTTCTAAGACTATGCATAAGCAGTACATAATATATAATGATCCCCATGCTCCACATGGAAAAGAAATCAAGTTCAAACAGAAAATGTGCTTAACATGAAAAGGGGCCTATGGAGCTATAGAGAAACATCCAGCAGTAACTGAAACACCATTTCTGTTAATCTATAACACACATGCCAGAATCCTTCTGTTTTCTGATAAATACAATAAGCAACTGTTATTAGAAGATTTTCCATACATTGGCTCAAAAACATTTGAAGTGCAGCAAGAGGAAGAAAGAATGGTTCCAAATTGGAAAACTATTTGTTTATTCTGATATGTCAAATAAGAACTAATGCTCAGGGCTTTGAAAGGCTACTTCACCTAAAGCCAGGGCAGACTATCAGGAGAAAAATGTCTGCAAAAAGAGATTTTGAAATTTGAGCCACAACTGATGTGTCTTCTATGTGACTATTGAGGTCCTCTTTAGCGTTAAGGGATTTTTTTAATACTTGCAGCCAAGGCTGTGATGGTCATTATTTTATTATTATTTTTTTTTATTATTGTATTATTTTTACATGTACCGTCAAATCAGATCTGACTGGTACAGGAGGAGATTGTCCCCTCCTTCTCCAGCAGAGCATCTGGTGGATTTGAACCACGTACCTCTGGGATTGCAGTGTAGCGTCTTGCCACTAGGCCACCAGAGCTCCCTGATGGTCATTATTTTAAGACTCAGCCCAGTCATTTCCCACTGCCATCAAGGGTGGAACTGTTTCACAGAGTTTAAAAGTCTCTCAATCTTTACAGAAGCAGACTGCCTCCTGAGTCTCCTGCAGAGGGTGAGTGGGATCGAACTGCTGATTTTCTGGTTAGCAGCCCAGCACCTAACCACTGCACCACCATGGCTGCTGCTCTTACATTAAAGGTTGGCATAACAACTTAATACAGATAAATAAATGAGGTAATTATTGTAAAACTACTTGTTACTGCTGAAAATGTCAATAAAGAGTATCACATAAAGTAAAAAGAACAGTAAAGCCCTTCTAATGTACTCCAAAGCTCCGCAGGACACAAAGAAATAGACGTGTAACATCTGAACTGATGAAAACACAGAATCAACTATCATGGTATCAAGAATATAACAATTTTTTACATTACCTTTTCCCACAAAAGATCTGAGGTAGCTACACATATTGTATAGACCCATCACCTAAATCATACCTAGGGATACAATGACTCCAATTTTCTACCAAGTTAAACCACAACAGCTTGATTCATTCAGTCCAGACTTACCTTATGAGTTCAATGACAGGATCCCAGAGAGGACTGAAATTAATATATAGCATGCCTAATAAATACCGCAGGGGCACCTGCAATAACAGGAAGATAGTTTAGTACATGCATAATGAATTATAGCAGAAAGGCAGAAAGAGAAGCACTTAAATATAAACATCTTCACTTGGGTAACTGGGTTTTGAAAGGCAGCTTATGCTTTTAAAAAAGAAAGTTGTAGACAGCTATCCAAACTTCAGGGTATAATAATCTCTCTTTTCTCTAAAATGTCACTTGCTGAGTATTTACTACAGGAGAAATCACTAAAGTGTATACAATATTCAAACTCACAACATTTACTAATAAAAAGTTCAAACTGATTGCCATTGAGACAGAATAAACTCACAGTGGACCTGCACACACACACACACAGAGAGAGAGAGAGAGAGAACACTTACATAAAGTAGTTTTGATTCAGAATTACACCTTCCTCTTTAACAAAAGCTGCCATCAGGAGATGGTAACTCAAAAGCAAACTCTAAAAAGAGTTCAGTTCAGAGTGTAAGTGTTCACAGTTTTGGAATAACAACCATTACTACTCACATTCAAAAGTACAGGCGTCAGGAAGAATGGCAGTTTTTTATCACATGTGAGTAGGGTGAACTGTTTGTATGGCTTTAAGCAGCAAAGCAGTTTTTCAAACTGAGTAGCAACAGAGGATCCTAGTGAGTGAAGCAGGTGAGAGCAGAACTGCTCTGACGGAGAAGGGAATACTTGCTACCTCACCTGCCCTCACTCTAAAAGTTACTGTGTGCCTTCGAGTTGAAACCAACCCAGAGCTGACCCTCCAGTGGGTTTTCAGAAGCAGTAAAATTACTCAGAAAGAGAGTGCTCATCCTTTTCCTAGGGAGCAGCTGGTGGATTCGAACCTCTGGGTTTTGAGTATGCCTTTGGGATTACAGTAATCTAATGGTAAAAGATGCTGAGATATATTTTCAATGTTCACGGATGGAAAACGCAGGAAGCTGGCTCACTACAGCAGTGAATGAATATGGTAATGGTATCAGGCTCTAACTCTGATGCTGGTCCTCTCTTGCCACTTCTTACTTATATTACTTAAGTCCATGTCTACTTAAGCCCTTTGTTGTTCTTATGTGCTGTCGAGTCGCTTGTGACTCATAGCGACCCTATGTACAACAGCCCTAAACCCTGCTCTGTCCTGTGCCAATCTTACTGTCTCTGACTCACCTACCCTCATTATCCCAGTCACTAAATCAATTCACCTCATAGAGGGTCTTCCTCTCCTGTGCTGTCCCTCCACCCTCCCAAGCATGAGGTCCCTCTACAAGGACTGGTCACTCTCTGCAACATGTACTAGTTTATGTATTTATAAATGGAGAATAAAACTACCACTCTGCTGTGGAGAGTAAATGGAATTGGCCAAAGTCGAAACACATGGTAAACTGTACAGTAAAATTCAAATGCAAGTCGTTTTTCTTTGTGCTGCCCTGTTTCTTCTTGTTATGCACCAGTCAGAAATGACTCACAGCTGACCGTGCAGTGGGTTTTCAGAGGCACGCAAATGGCATGGGAGGAGACTGCCTATCTTTCTCTCAAGGAACAGCTGGTGGATGCGAACCATGTTCCTTTGGGCAGGCGAGCCAACTCCTTACCACTGTGGATGTCAGGTGTCATCGAGTCAAGTCTGACACACAGCGACCGCATGAACAACAGATCTGGAGCTGTCTTCTGCTGTGCCATCCTCATCATCTCCGGTATGCTTGAGTCCACTGCTGTAGTCACCATGATTCACTGAGCTCTCCCCCTCTTGCTGACCCTCCACCTTTACATGCATGATGTTCCTTTCCAAAAAATGTCCTCTCCTAGCAACTCAAAGTATGTGAGATGAAGCTTCACTATCCTTGCCTCCAAGAAGCAGAAAAATGCTGGCTGCACTTTTTCCAAGACATTATTTGTTTGTTCTTTTGGTAGTCCATGGGATATGTAGTTCTCTTCTCCAATACCACAGTTCAATGGTCATTCATTGTCCTGCTCTCAGACATATAGCAATTCAGGTGGACCTTAGTCTTTAAACTAATATCATTGCTCCTCAGTAATTTGAAGAAATCCCTGACAACAGAGTTTCCCATTGCAATACATCTTCTGATCATCTGACTGCTGGTACCAAGGGTGTTGATTATGGATCCTATCACTGACCACTTTAATCTTTTCTCCATTTATCATGATGTTATTTTTCAGTCCACTGGTGAGGATTTTTGTCTTCTTGATGTTGCGATACAATTCATATTGAAGGCTGTAGCGTTACCAGGAAGGTTCCTTAAAAAGACTCCTCTGCTATTGAGCCCACTGTGATTCAGTGACCTTCAAACCAACTATCCCAGGTGGTTTTCAAGGCCTGTAAACCTTTACAGAGGTGGTGGATGGGACAGGCTGGTGGATAGGACTTGCTAAACTCTGGTTAGTGCCTGAGAGATTTAACCACTGTGCCATCAATGCTCCCTGCTATTGCATATAAACTGTTTACATTACAACAAATTCTTTGCTCTTATATTTTACCAACTGTGTCTTCATTGACTAAAGCAGTACATCACAGTAGTTAAAGGCACGAATCTAGACATTTGTGTTTAAATGCTGATTCTACCAGTTACTTGCTGTGTGATCTTGGGTAAATTGCTCAGTTCATTTAGTTTTCATTTCCCTCTCTGTAAAAGAAGCACCTACTTTATAAGATCTTGGTGATGATGAAATGTGTTAACATCCCTTAGAATCAGGGCTTTGAGTAAGTTCAGTCACAGCCAAAAAAGTATAATTGGAACAGATTCAGATTTCTAAAATTAGAGTGATTTGGAATGCTAAAGAGAATGGGGAAAATGAGGAGATGAAGGTCTGGAATGAGTGACAGACATGAAAAAGTGCAATGAGTCCCTTCAGGAACATGACACAGGACTGGATTACTGGTAGGATTATGGAGAACAACATTCCATAAATGCTACAAGTCTCATTTCCTCGACGATGCCTGAGACAGCACTGTTTTCCACCAAGCTGGTCAAGAGATTTGTATGCAACGTAACATGCATGTGTCTTTGTTTTTTATGAGAGAAATTATGTTTCTAGCAAGACTGTGTAATTTTTAAAATTTGCATCCTTTTAGTGTTGTTTTGTTGGTCATGACTGGTCTGGGGGGAACTGGTTCAAAGCCTTGCTGAGAACAGAACAGAGACTGGCAGGCAAGTGTTGGCCAAGTGGTGGTTCTCAGGGCTCTGTCTCAGCTAAGAACCAGAGTCCTCAAACAGAAGTCACATTTTCTCTTACAAGCAGCTCCAAATAAAGGAGACAACAGCAACAAGGAAGTCTACTAGGGGTGGAGTTCGCAAGGCTTAAAGATGGGAACTGCTTTTTTAAATAATAAATAGTGATTTTATGTCTAATGAGAGGGAAAAGGAAACCCACAGCAGTCATTGGGATTTTCGTGCCTTACTGCTGTGTGTCGTTGAGTCAATTCCGACACACAGTGAATCTGTGTAACAGAGCAGAACCCTCCCAGTGGGTTTTCAAGGCTACAACTGTAACGGGAGTGGACTGCCAGGTGTTTTTCCTGTGAGGACAATGGGAGGATCTGCGCCAGGAAGCTCTTTAACCACTGGGGCAGCAGGCCTCCTTGGGACTGGCATTTAGCCAGGCCAGTTATCCTTTTCCTGGCCCTAATGATGTATAATAAGAAAAGGCTGGCTATTAAATCAGATGCATTTAAACAGATTCCTGATTATGACAGTAACCCTAACCTAGGAACCCCTGCAAGGTCTGTTGGTTCAATCAACCTCTCAACATTTTTCCTTCTAGTTCAAAAGTGTTCCACAGAACCACTCTTCACCCGTGTGTTGTGGTAAAATCACATCAACTAACACAGGAAAAAGGGGAATGGTAATAAGGGCTGAATGGTTCCTTACTCTCCTTCTAATAAAACACTTGGACCACCTAGTTCTGTTACGTATCTAAAAGTTCACATCAACAGCAGGAACTCCATCTATTTTGTTCCTCATTGGACAACCACAAACACCTCACAATGCCTGGCACTGAAGAAACTACATTCTCCACTAATATTTGTTGGATGACTGAATGCAATTTAAGTTAGGAAGAATGGCAAACCCATGGAGAAAAAGTACTAAGACAAGGACCTAGGTGGAAAGTTGTCTAGCTTATGAGACGAAGCGCAGGCTTTCAGATGTGACCTCTGTCTGCCGCCAGGCTCACTATCTTACCCCTTGAGTATGAAACAGTAAAGTTACAAAAAACTGTCTCCCCAGAAAGCGGAACGATTTCAGGCACCACCTGCGTTTACTCTGCGTTCTCTTGTACTTTTCACCTGACTTCCTGAACATCTAATTCATCATCTTGGACTCAGCTGGAGAGTGGCTTCCTCCGTGAAGCCTCACTGACAAGTGGCCCTCCGAGCCTTGCTCCAGGAGATGAGACCCTCCGCCCGTTCCCACCGCACTCAGTTGTTCCCATGCCCACTAGACTCTATGAGACTATGCATCTCTTGAAGACAGGGCTGTGTTTCCAATGATCGCTGTATTGATAGCAACTAACCTGGAATCCAAAATGTACTAAGTACTTGTAGAAGAGCTGAATAAAGACAGACTAATAAGTTGAAAACTCATTCCTACTGTGACAGAAGCATTTTCTAAATAGAAATCAGGGCAGGAAATGTGAGAGAGACTATTCTTTAAAACATGGCCCCTTTGTAGATAAGGAAACTAAGTCAAAGTGATCAGTGATCATAAGTACAAGCTCTCAGCATGATTCCTGGTTCTCTCTCGTATATAGTACATTGCCTAGTATACACCACTGTCTTTCTACACGTAAGACACAACTCAAACCCTTATGTAATTCCTATACACCCAGTATCAGTCACTAAATACTGACATCTCAACCAAAATAAAGCCTAAAATCCCATGGCCACTGAGTAGATTCTCACTCACAGTGACCCTCCTATCAGGTTTCCAAGACTATAAATCTTACCAGAAGGGGACTGTCCAGCTTTTCCTCTCAGAGTGGCTGGTGGTTTTGAAATGTT